ATGTTAAGTCCTGGGTAAAGCGGACTTTTCCTAACTGAGCAGTCTTCTGATGTCTTCTGTAATGTAGCTCTGTGGTTGCATCACCATCCAACCACCATACAGCTTGCCTCTTTTTCGCCCGTGTGCATCTGTCTTGCCTAACTCAAGATCATCATCAAATAGGAAAAAAGGATATTTTAAAAACCAAAAGCAGAAAACAATATATTTTCCTTTCAGAGGACAAAGCTCTTGCTGCCCTTGGATTATTATGTGAGGGTCTGGTCACCATACTTCAGAAAGGAAATAATACAGTTGGAGAAAGTTCAGAGAAGGGCATCTATGATGGTCAATGAAGTGGAAGGAGACAGACCCAAGCGAATAAATTTGCTTAGGGTAAAAGGGTTACAAGTGTGGTTACTGGCACTAGAGAACATGGGTAAGGTACAGAGAGACGACTCCTACAACAGGAGTTCGGCAACATCCCACTGATGCCTTTGAGGAGTGAATTTAAGGCAAAATGAAGAATTTGCCCCATAAAGGTGTGAAAAACAGTAGAAGGTGATTCCTTTATGGGACGAAGCATAAAGGGATCACAGCTCTGTGCAGAGCCATTCTCAAAGTCTGCCTTTCCTCTGTGTCACATGAGGCCAAATCCTCTCTGAGTAGAAGCTACTACAATGTCCTAAACACCAGGACATTGTTTAGTTAGATAGGAACATAGTGCAGAGATTGTAATTTCCTTTTGTTTTGCCTATTGTGGGAACAGAGACTTTCTCCATAATGATGCCTCAGAGACAATGATTAAGTTAATTGCTTCTCCAGGTTGAAAAATCCTCCTCCCTTTTATTGCCACTCTGGGCCTGAGGTGTTAGCCATTTCCTCATTTCTGTGTCCTGCTTTGGCTCCTGTCCCAGCTCTCTATGTCGCAGTAAAGTTATAAAACCCAAACTTAGATTCTTTCCAGTTTCTAGGCAACTGTGCATGCTGAGCAAAAATGTTCTTGTCATCAGAGTCTGAGAAAGATGGCGCCATCCTCTTACAATAAGTGTGCATGCATCCCTTCTGCTTGTAGGCATACCAGTGTTCTCAGCATAAGGAGAGCAGCTGCCTGGGCTAGGGTAAATTAGGAGGCAGTCAAAGGCTGCATTTTCAGTGTTTTTTGTTTGTTTGTTTGTTTTTGTTTTTATCCACAATATAATCGGAATTGATTTAAAAAAAAAAAAAAACAAAACAGGAGGGAAGGAGGGAAACAACACCAAAAAAAGGCTACCAGGAATCTTGGAATGGAAGAGGTGAGGATATAATCCAGGAAAGCCCAAGAGAAAGAGAGAAGAGATTACAGAAGAAAGAAGGGTAATTAATACCTTCTACTTAAAGTAATTAAAACCTACCTAAAATTCTACCTAAATTCTACCTGAAGTCCAAGTAGAAGGAAAAGAGAGGCCCCGAAGTTTGGTGTTTGAGATCTGTATTAGTCAGTTTAATTTCTGGAGAATTAACACAAAGTCCCACAGTAACTATCTTAATTCCCTCCAAGGACAGTATTCCCATTCCATCTTAAAGGTCACTCTCTTCTAAAACCACCATGCCAAGGAAAAGGATTACAACACAAACACTTGAGGGACAAAACACATCCAAACCACAACAGGGTTGTTATTAAAATTTTTTGTTTTTCAATGACCTATTTGTTTTTATTTTATGTACATTGATTGATGTTTTGCCTGGATATATGTCCAGTTAGATCACCTGGAACTGTAGTGACAAACAATTGTTAGCTAGGAATTAAAACCAGGTCCTCTGAAAAAGCAGCCAATGCTTTCAAGCCATCTCTCCAGTCCCTCAAAATTTTCAAATATATATTTATATTTATATTTATATTTATATTTATATTTATATTTATATTTATATTTATGTTTGTGTGTGTGTTAAGTGCCCCCAGAGGACATCAGATCCCCTGGAGCTAGAGTTATGGGTGGTTTTGAGGCAGCTGATATGGGTGCTGGGACCTAAACTCGGGTCCTCTGCAAGAGCAGTATGCGATTTTTCAACACTGCTCCATCTCTCCAGCCCTTCCTTACTCAGATTTGCTAGCCTTTGACTGGTTCCACACATAACTGGCATGTGCTGATCCTACAGTTTCAGACTGGATCCTGAGACGTGAGCAGATGCCCCCTCACTATTTGAGCACCACCACGGTGGCCTTTAAGTATACTCCATGAGTTTTCTCAGGACAACCTCAAGTCATACATATTAAAGCTCCTTTGCCTACTTGGGGAAAATTGAAGGCTTGCTTTTCTAAATCTAGCTGAGAATCGGACATAGCAGCTGTTTGACAGGGAATTCCATTTAAGTCATCAAAAAACTGAAAGTTGAAAGAAACTATATAGAATGTGTGGCTAAGTGGATTTCAGTCTGATATGCAAGATCATAGGAATTCCTAGCAGTCCTCCTTGTTGCGGGGGAGGAAAGAACTCAGGTCTCCATCATCTCTCCTGCCAAAACAAATAAGGCATACGGAATCATCTTTCATTTATTTCCATTATGTAAGATTTTTAGAAAAACAAAAATACTTTTGTTTAAAAAAATGTTTGAGATTAGGCCAGGAATGATGTCAAATGCATTTGATCACAGCATTTTGGAGGCAGAGGCAGATGGATTTCTCTGTATTCAAGGTCAGTCTGGTATATATAGCAAGTTCCAGGCCAGCCAGGACTGCACAGTAGGAACCTGTCCCAGAAAAAGAAAAAAAAAAAATGTTTGAAAAGAAGCACTACAAAGATGGCTCAGCAGTTAAGGTCATTTTTTGATCTCCCAAAACACCTGAGTTCAGTTTCCAGCACTCAAGTCAAATGGCTCACAACAGCCTATAACTTCAATTCCAAGTTCTCCAATGTCCTTTTCTGGCCTCACAGGCACCCATACTCATATGATATACATTCACACAGACACACATATACACAGAGAAATAAAAAACAAAAATAAATAAACACTTAAGGCTGGAGAGATGGCTCAGCAGTTAAAGACACTTGTTCTTACAGAGAACCCAGGTTCAATTCCCAGCACCTACATGGTAGGTCACTGTTGTGGTGTTTTTTTTTTTCTTGGCCCTGACTTCCCAGAATAATGACTAGGTATTTACAAATACCTAGGCCATATAGCAAGGCTCTTCTCTGACTAGCTCATAACTTAAAATAACCCATTTATACTAATTTGCATTCTGCCATGTGACTGGTAAACTGTGCTCAGATACCATGCATCTATCTTCTTCACATCTTCCTGGACAAATCTCCCATGCCTGGCTGTATCCCAGAATCTTTTCTTCCTGTTGATGTCCCAACTCCTATTTCCTGCCTCAGCTATAGGCCATTAGCTTGCCTAATATGCATGAAGCCCTAAGATCATCCTAAGCTCTGCCTAACCTGGGTGTGGTGATAGGTGCCTACAATCTCAAGACTCAGGAGGTAGAGGCAGGAAGATCAGGAAGTCAAGATCATGCTTGGCTATGTAGCAAGTTTAAGACCAGGCTTGGATACCTGAGATGTTATCTCAAAAATTAATATAAAACCATTTATGAGCTGGGTGTGTGGCCATGCTTTTGTCATCCCAGTACTCTGGAAGTAGAGGCAGGAGGATTGTGTGTTAGAGGTCATCTTGGACAGTATAGCAAGACTTTCTCTCTCGAGACAAGACAAGACAAAACAAGGGGAAACATTTCCAAACAGTTATCTTTGTTCATTCTAACTTCAACTTAACACTTCCTTCCAATAAACAAACGCCATTCAGATAATCCCACCTACAACAGCTTTAATCTGCAGAGTCATCTCTTGAGGTTTGGTGATACCTGGCTGATGATGGACAGAATATGAGAGTTGGAAATTGCTTAGAAGTCATCTGGTCTAACTAACTATGAAGAAAAAACTGAGGCCCAAAGAGGTGGGAAAGTGGCCTTTCCCTGACCGTTTACAGAAAGGAGGAGCTCATGCTTAGCAAAGCACCTGCTCTTTAAGTGAATTGAATGTGTTTGGCAAACAAAATTTGCTTTAATTACCATAATCAAACTTTTAGTTCACTTATCTCTTGATTTGGTCCTAGTACAAGTAAAAGAAGAAATGGAATGGTACAGCCCTACATTCTTAACTCTTTCTATATATTTTTCCCTCCCCCTTTTGAGACAGGCTGACCTCATACTTCAATATACTGTGTAGTTAAGAATGATCTTGAACTTTTGATCCCCCTGTCTCTAGCTCCAAAGAGCTGTGATTACAGGCTGGTGTCTGGTTTATAGTTACTATTTTTATTTTATAAAAGAGAAGGTAGGACTTAGAAATAATGTTTATCCACATGTACACAGCCAGTAGGTAGTGGAGCCTAGTCTTGGAAGGCCTTAAGTCTCCAAACTCTTTATTCTGCCCATTCAAATTCTTCCTCTGAGAATACAAGTGGGGCTAGAGTTTAGGTGAATCCTCAGAACTTCCCACCCAGTTGCAGAACTCTGACCCCTCCTGGTAAGATACAGTTACAGCTGGGGTAAGGACAGAGCGATTCTTGGTGTGCCTGGAATGGAATTTCCTGTGCGTTCAGGCCCCTGAGCCTCCTCTTCCTGGGCACAGTCTTAGTACATATTCCTCTTTCTTTGGGACTCTAAATTCCCATGCTTTTTCTATTTCCTGCCGTCCTACTTCCACATTAGACTCGACACACAGGATGTTCAATAAAGATTTCTATGAAAGGGCCCTGTAGAATGTGGATCAGCATAATCTTCTGCAAGAGGTAGGCAATGAGGAAAATGCCAGAGAGACAATGCCATAGATGACCTGGGATGGCTATGAGAAGAGAGACAGAGGAGAGGGAACAAAGAACTTTTGTAGGAGAAGAGGTGGTACGAGTGGGCAAGAAGCCAGGACTGGCAGGAAGTTAAGGGTCTGACAGTCTGAGGAAGAGCACAGAGCTTGAAGGTGGAGTTGGGCTATGGAGCTGAGGGCCTGACATTGCCCTCTTCCCCAATGGGCCTCTGTTTGCAGTCCCCCTGGAGGGGGTGAACATCACCAGCCCCATACGTCTGATCCATGGCACGGTGGGGAAGTCGGCTCTGCTTTCCGTGCAGTACAGTAGCACCAGCAGCGACAAGCCGGTGGTGAAGTGGCAGCTGAAGCGTGACAAGCCAGTGACTGTCGTGCAGTCCATAGGCACAGAGGTCATTGGCACTCTGCGGCCTGACTATCGAGACCGTATCCGGCTCTTTGAAAATGGCTCCTTGCTTCTCAGCGACCTGCAGCTGGCAGATGAGGGAACCTATGAAGTGGAGATCTCCATCACTGATGACACCTTCACTGGGGAGAAGACCATCAACCTCACCGTGGATGGTAAAGCACTCAGCAGGGAAAGAGGCAGGACAAGGCTGGGACTAAGGCTAGACCCAAGAAAACTCAACACAAAAGGCTGAGTGGTCATTAGGAGATGGTACCTAGGCACAGCTAACATGGATAGAGTGTTTGCATGGCCAGCCCACTTCACATTTAAAATAATCAAGGGATAGATAATGTCACACTCTCTATTTTGAAGACAAGAAAAATGAGATACAGAGAGTAACTTGCCCAAGCTTATACAACTGATAGAGTCTAGAGAGTTGGACCTAGTTTCTACCAGCTAAACTATCTTCCAGGCTTGATATGTTTAAATAAAGTCCAGTGATTTTGCAATGGTATTTGGGAAGAAGGGAGTGAGGACACTCCCCATGACTTTGTTCTTCAATATGCAAATTGCTTGATTAAGAATGAGTGGATAGGGGCTGGAGAGAGGTTAAGAGCGCTGGCTGTTCTTCCAGCTACTCTTCCAAAGGTCCTGAGTTCAATCCTCATCAACCACATGGTGGCTTATAACCATTTATAATGAGACCTGGTGCCTTCTTCTGACCTGCAGGCACACATGTAGGCAGAATACTGTATAAATAATAAATAAATCTTAAAAAAAGAAAGAATGAGTGGGTGAAGGATGGATGGATAGATGGATTGTGGGACAGGACTAAGCTAAGGATCTCTGGAGGGACTTCTCAGCCAACAGACTGAACTGTTACATGGTGGAAGATGGGAGGGTAAAGAGGGGAAAGAAATGTGTTGTAGATTATGACTCACAGACCTTTCCACCCTCCCATTTCTGGGGCTCAGTGCCCATTTCAAGGCCACAGGTGTTAGTGGCTTCAACCACTGTTCTGGAGCTCAGTGAGGCCTTCACCCTCAACTGCTCCCATGAGAATGGCACCAAGCCTAGCTACACCTGGCTGAAGGATGGCAAGCCCCTCCTCAATGATTCCCGAATGCTCCTGTCCCCTGACCAAAAGGTGCTCACCATCGCCCGCGTACTCATGGAGGATGACGACCTGTACAGCTGCGTGGTGGAGAACCCTATCAGCCAGGTTCGAAGCTTGCCTGTCAAGATCACCGTATACAGTAAGTTCTCCTGACGGCCCAAGTTCTGAGTGTCCACTGGGACAAAAGGCGTTCCAGAGAGTCACTGTCTAGAGCAGTGGTTCTCAAGCTTCCTAATGCTGTGAGCCTTTAATGCAGTTCCTCATGTTGTGGTGACCCCCAACCGTAAAATTATTTTCATTGCTTCTTCATAGCTTTAATTTTGCTGCTGAATCATAATGTAAATGTCTGTGTCTCCTGATGGTCTTAGGTGAGCTCTGTGAGAGGGTTATTTCATCCCCCCCCGCCCCCAGGGGGGCTGAAACTCACAGGGTGAGAATCATTGGAGTAGAGGAAGTGAGACAGGAGTAGAGGTGGCTTGACTGTCCATGGAGGGCAGCCACAAGTGGGAGGTAGGCTCCGGGTGAGCTCTGCCATTGCCTACCCATGCTGCTGGGGCCCCTTTCTCTTCCCTCCACTGCTAGTGTTCTACTCGCCACACCTGTTCCCCTTCTCAAATTGCCCCTGCCTCTCCTCCTCTCTTTCCTTAGGAAGAAGCTCCCTCTATATCATCTTGTCTACAGGAGGCATCTTCCTCCTTGTGACCCTGGTGACAGTCTGTGCCTGCTGGAAACCTTCCAAAAAGTCCAGGTAACTAGTCAGTTTTCACACTTTAGTTCTTTCTTCAGTCTATTTTAACCCCAAGTTTAATGCTAAGTGAATGACTGGCTGTGTCGCTGGCCTTGAGTCTGGGGTCATGTACATACTAGGCAAGCAACTCTACTGCTGAGCTACATCTCTATTTTCCCAGCTCTAGTGGATGTGTATATGTTTGTATAGGTGTGAGAATAGATGTGTGTTGGAGTTGGTGCATGGGCACATGTGTGTAGATGCCAGAGGTAAACCTCTGATGCTAGTCTTCTGCCCGTCTTTGCTTTCCTGGTGCTGGGATTACAATTGTGTGCTACTACACCGACCTTCTTCATGTGGATTATTGGAATTGAACCCAGGTCCTTGTGCTTGTAAGGCAATCGCTTTACCAACTGAGCTATCCCTCCACCCCAGCTCCCAACTCTATTCTCGTCTCTTTGATTGTTTTCTGTCGTATAGGGAACTGCATCTGTACTCAGTGACCTCCGACTACGGCAGCCTTGCTGACGGTGATTTCTCCTTCGGGCTTGACAGCTCTCTGAGTTAAATCAGTGTGCTGCCTTTTAAGTCAAAGCACCTTCGGCTCACAGAAAAAGATATTGAAACTCACATTGGATAAACAGCCTACCCACAGTCACAGTCACAGTCTTAGCATGCAAACCTAGATGTGGCTTATTCCACGGTTCATAGACTTCCCTCATTCCCAGCCCATCATCCCATCACGAGACTTTTTCTGTGGTCATTAGAACCCTTTCTGTGTCCATTCCTTAGATTTCCTGTTCACATTTCAATAGCTCTGTTCTTGGTGGGGTTGGACCGGTTTGCAGGAAGAAGAGGAAGTTGGAGAAGCAGAACTCCTTGGAATACATGGATCAGAATGATGACCGCCTAAAATCAGAAGGTGAGCTCCCAGCTACCCGCTGGCCCAGCCCATCAGCACTCAGATCAGAGCGGCCCAACGGGAAGAGGAAAGTGGGTGGTGAGGAATTCAGCAGAGCAAAGAGGGGTGCAGGGACAGAATAGAGGCGCTGGGTGATGTAGAGCGGTGGTTCTCAAACTGTGGGCCGAGGCGGCTTCGAGGTCCACGGCGCTTTTCCCAAGAATCACCTAAGACCGTCGGGAAACACAGATACTCACATGATGATTTACAACAATAGCAAGATTACAGTTGTGAAGGAGAGATGAAAATAATTCATGATTGGGGGGGGTCACCAAAACATGAGGAGCAGTATTAAGGGGCGCAGCATTAGGAAGATTAAGAAGCAGTGCTGGAGAGGATGTGTCCCTGGACCAGGCACCCCATTCTTTCCCTGTGCAGCGGACACCCTACCCCGAAGTGGCGAACACGAGCGGAAGAACCCGATGGCACTGTATATTCTGAAGGACAAGGTGAGCCGCTCTGTCAGCGACCCCCTATGGTGCCGCGCTGGGGAACGGGTGATGTGGCCATCTCTTTGCAGTATCTGCAGATACCGTATTTCTGCAGCATCTGCAGACACCCTCACTTTAGAGATTGGAAAATAGCACAGAGGGATTGTGAAGACAAATTGTAAAGGTCTAAACAAGCAAATGAGTGGCAGATCTGGCCTTCCCAATATATACGCGACAGTCAGCATGCAGTTTCATGGACTACCTTAACTCTTCCCCGCGTCCGGGCTAACCCTTGTCACAAGACCTACTTGGTGGTCATTGGAACCCTTCCTCTGTTCTCTGCTCAAGTGCAATAGCCCCATTTGCCACGACCGGGTCTGAAAGAGGATAAGGAGACGAGGCACTGAGTCGTGTTAAGGTTTACTGTGTGCCTGGGCCATCCACGGGGGTGTGGGTGGAGACCCCGAGAGACGCCCGCCTTTGTAGTTCCAGTGCTCCTAGCCTGGGTCAGGGGACCGCTGACCCTCGCAGCGCTTGTGTTCCCAGGACTCCCCGGAGCCCGATGAGAACCCCGCTGCAGAGCCTCGGAGCACCACAGAGCCCGGCCCTCCTGGCTACTCCGTGTCCCCGCCTGTGCCCGGCCGCTCTCCGGGGCTGCCCATCCGCTCAGCCCGCCGCTACCCGCGCTCCCCAGTGCGCTCGCCCGCCGCTGGCCGAACACACACGTCGCCACCCCGGGCCCCGAGCTCGCCCGGCCGCTCGCGCAGCTCCTCGCGCACACTGCGGACTGCTGGCGTGCACAGGATCCGCGAGCAGGACGAGGCTGGGCAGGTGGAGATCAGTGCCTGAGCCGCCCCAGGAGCCCGCACCGGTTGCCCCACGGTGTGCTGCCCGCGGCCGGGGGAGGCTGAGAAGTCCGGGTGCCTCTGGCCAGGGCTGAGGGTAGATTGTGGCCTGATCCCCGTTTAGGGTGTGAGCTTGCGCAAACGCATGGAGCGCTGATCTCGGTGTTAAGCCCGGTAGCATGTGCGCTGGGTTTACTGGCTGTGTTCTTTGGCTGTGTTCTCAGTGGGCATGAGCTGTGCCCTCTTAGGACTACGTAGATTATTAAATTTCCGGCCCAATCCCTAAAGAATTTTATGGAAACTAACAATAATTTTACCCAGTAAGACGACCCTATGCGCGCGCGAGCGCACACACACACACACACACACACACACACACACACACCCGGGAGCGTTTATCCACCTCCCAACCCCACATGCCTCCTACGATCCCGAAAATTTGTGGTACCCCTGGTCTGAGCCCAAATTCGAGGCCGCTTATCCCCAAATGCCCACTGACGTGAACTAAAGACAAGTCAGATGCTGGTTCCTGGGTGTACAGGACCCGTTCTGATCACAAAGGAGTCATTTTCTTAAGACCTTTTCTGGACACCTGCTTCCCTGTCTCCTCCTCTTGGTAAGGGTGAATCCCGGGTGCAGTCCTAGGACCCTGGGAACCTGGGACTAGTCAAAGACAAAATATCAGGGCCCCAGTGGTTGGTGGCATCCAATGGCTTCTTCAAAAGCGTGCCATACTGGTCTTTCTTCCTGTCTGTGTTCATGAGAAAGTGGGTGGGCTTGTTCCTGGCGTTCTTACAAACCAAGCTTTTCAATCATCCTCAGGAAGGTTGAGGAGTTCCTTCGAGCTGTAAAAATAATAAGATTCTACTCTCCAGATAAACCTGGAAAGAGGAAGAAGCTTACCTCTTCCCCAGCATGTCAAAACAACCTTGGCCCACCCGCTAGCCTCACGCTTTCCACCTGCCTTGCCCCTAGATGCGCAGAACCAAGGACAGTGGACAGAGCCAGCTCCCTAATCTGTACTAAAGTCAGGAGACTAAGGGGCTGGGCCACCTCCAGGCCATCACCTCTTTGGGCATTTTGGAAAAAAGAAAACAATGTACTGCGTGAAGACAGAAAGCACATAAATAGCTGAGAGAGGAAGGTCCTGGGCTGTCTGCCCTCTCTTCCTTAATGCCCCCAGAGACCCCTGCATCTCTTGTCCCTCCTCAACTCCTAAACTTTGCCTTTGCTTCTGCATTATCCGATGAACAACTCCCAAGGTCCATATGCATCACCTCCACACCAGAACACACTTTGCCCCAGCCCTGCAGGCACCAAAATTTCTAGATTGCCTGCATCTCCCAACCCCACCCACATGTCTCTCAGTTCCCCTGCTCATGTGGCAAGCTGTCTGCAGCTATCCTTACTTAGCCAGAACCCACAATCCACTAACCTTCCCAGGTGCCTCAGCCACCATAAACTAGTGCATGTAGGTGATAGTGCAGGCAGGTCAGGGTATGTAAGCGTTGGAAAAGGGCTCCCTGTTCATCAGCCTTGAAGTACAGGAGCGAGGGAGAGGGTGCGATGAGAGCATGCCACATCCTGGTGCTGAAGCCTGGTGGGGCTGGCTTCCCAGACTCAAGCCAAATTTGCCTTGAATCGGGGGTAAGTAAGAAAGTGGGTTTTTGTTTTTGTCTTGCTTTGTTTTGATCTTTGTATTACCAGCATCTAGCAGAGTGCATAGCACAAACTGGATGCTCAATAAACTTTCAATGAAATGAAATAATTTTATTTCCACATAAGCAAACTGAACAAATGTACAGCCTAAATGTACAAGCTATATCCTTTTTCTCTTGCTTTTGTAAAACCTCCTTTGCTTTCTTTCCAAATTGCAAGTCATCCATTCCCAAGCCATCCCTTTCACTCACTCACTCATTCATTCATTCCTATGTTATCTTAGTTACCAAACATTTATTTGTGTATCTTAGTTACTAAACAAACATTTATATTGTTGACTATATCCCAAGCGCAGGGTAATGGTGTAATTATGCCATGACTTCTACCCAGAAAACAATCTCATAGGAGAAGTCAGTAAGTGAACAGATTGTTATAACACAGTGTGTAAAAACAATAACAGAAACAGATCTAAGATACTCAGGGAACAAATATCAGGGGTTACAAAAGGAGGACATATTCCAAGTGTGTGTAAAAGTTTTGGGTGGACAATACACATGGGGAATTCAGAATACTGAGCCATTAAAATGGATAGCATTATTTTAGGATAATGTATAGAGCAGAAAGTGGTAAAAATTTGATAGGCCTCTGGGACCTCAGATAGTGTATTTTGTGGAGTTGAGTTGAGAAGGCTAAAAAGGCATATCAAGAAAGGTCGAAATGTAGGTGAAAAGGCCTTCACACACTCCAAGAAGAGGCTTTCAAGTGGAACAAGTGTGATGGTGCATGCCTATAATCTTAGTGCTTGGAAAGCTGAAACAGGAGGACCTCAAGGTCAAGACCAGCTGAAGCACATAGAGACACCCCGTCTCAAAGAAACGGAAGGAGAAGGAGGGTCGGGTGATAGAATAGTCAGGACTTTTGAAGGTTCTGTGTATAAAAAGGAATTCAAAGTAATTAGGGATTGGCATGCTTGTGTAGCATTTGATTCCTAGGAAAGAAGATGAGTCCTTAAGTTTGATCCCCAGGAAAGAAGAAAAAAGAATCATAAAAGAAATACACACACACACACACACACACACACACACACACACATTAAATTTGGCAACAAAGGAGCCATTTAGCTGCTTGGCATATGGAGTTGCAGCCATGAGCAAGAGTTAAAGCCAGACTGTAACAGGTGAGTCATGACTGACACAGTTGAGACTGGACACTTGAGACTGGGTATTTGAAAGGCCTTCCTGTTTCAGAGCATCTTGATCCTGCCTGAATACAGTATATTTAGTTTGTATTACCAGGAGAAACTTCCAGGGAACAGAAACAAAATAAAAGCATGACAGATCCAGAGTGCTTTAGTACTAATAAAATATGGAATTACCCTGCATATTTTGCATTAGAATTGTACTGAAAAATTGTGTCTAGCCCATTGGTGAGGTAAGAAGAGCTGGACCTCAGACATGTAGATTGTTGATGACCTAGAAAGGGGGTTTCCCTGCTGGAGGCACTTAAGACAGCTGGTGAATGAAACTGCTAATCTTCTGTGGAGAAAAGCACTTTGAATTTTCTGTTATTAAAACAAATCAAAGATGAGTTAACTGTTGTGGTGATACCTGTAATGTCAGCACCTGGGATATTGATGAAGGTGGGTCATGGGATTCAGGCCAGCCTGGGCTACACAGTAAAGCCTTATCCCACGCAGTGGGGAGAATTAACAAAAACAACCACAAAAAGGGGTGGGTCAGTAAATATACATGGAAATAAATCACCATGACTATTTAAGATGCAATAGATTCAAACCCACAAAGCCTTAAGATGATGGCGTTATCAGGTAAGAAAGAATGACGGAATGCTGAAAAGAACAGAAGACATCAATAACCAAGCAACTGTAAAGATTGTAATAGTGATCAAGTTGGAAAAGGGACAAGGTGAATTTTCGTAAATAAAAATAAGGTTTGTGTGATGGCTCAGCAGGATAAGACACTTGACATAAAGGCTGATATCCTGAGTTTGATCCCCAGAACGTATGTGTTGGAAGGAGAAAACTGACTTCTACCGGTAGCCCTCTGAGCTGCATGTGGATGCAGTGACACACTCACACACACACACACCCAGACACACAACACAAATTAATGTAATATGTAACAGCATGGTCTGGTGCCTTGTATCTGATTGTTAATTATTTTGCTCCCCCATATCTGCTTCCTGTCTTTTATGAACAGACAGTCTCGTACCCCAAAATGACATTTGTAACCTTGCCTAAGAAATTATTCCTGATTGGCTGAATAAAAAGGCCTACACCTGGGAAGGGCAGACCTGAGGGGCAGAGCTAAGGTTCTTGGACTTTGGGGACTGAAGGATCATGTGAGAGAAAGACAGGTAGAGGGGAGAGAAGGAGACAGAGCCTCTATGGGTTAGGATAGAGAGAAGCACGTGGCCGGATTAGTGTGGGTAGAGGAAAGCAGCCCGGATGAAAAGAATAAGCAAGTGTTTATGGAATTATGGATCGGAAGTAGCCCAGATAGAAATTATCAGAGTAATTGGCATGGGATGGGGACTGGAAGGTAATTAGGTAGCTTAGGGGTTAATATCTGCCCAGCCCCAGGTAAAATAAGGTTGTTCTAAAATTCTATCAGGTGTTTGTGTCTTTATTGATTTGATACTGAGTTAGATAAGACCACCGTAATAATTATAGGCTTCTAGTAATAAACCATATTAGCTAATTTTATATTATCTACAACAGTAATATATACAAAATTTGCTGAAATAAAACTGTTATGTGGGTGTGGTGACTCACACCTGTAATCCTAAATCCTACCACTTGGGAGATAAAGGCAGGAAGATAAGGAGTTCAGAGTCAGCATGGATTATATGAGACCATGTCTCAAAAAAGCAAACCAGCAGCAGCAAAAAGTAGTCAAAAAGAGTTTAAATACACATTAGATAAATTTGAAGATTTAAACTTTTGAAAAAATTTTTAAAGTGGGAATAGATAGATATTTTCTGTGTGTGGCAAAAAAAAATTGACTTAATAGAATGGGGTATTAGCTAAACAATATAAAAATAAAATGAAGCAAGCTAACCTGAAAAAAAAAAAAAACCCTGAAGAGATGGATAGCTAATTTGAATACATATCTGATACTATTCAAACAGACACGAAGATGAAAATATGAAAAAGAGATTAAAGGGTATGTCATGTAGAATTAAAATGTATGTCATGTAGAATTAAAATTTAATTTTAATTAAAGTTAAAATTAAAACATTTTATTCAGATCTCCATGGAGAGGATGGAAGGGACGCCATTATTCGTTTTAAAGATTTATTTCACTTTTCGTTATATGTGTGTGCACATAAGTTCAGGTGCCCTTAGAGGCCAGAGGCGTCACAGGTGTTACAGCCCCTGGAGCTGGAGTTATGATGTGACTGTGAGCTTCCTGACAAGAGTCTGAGGGAATCCAGCTTGTGTCCTCTGCAAGAGCAGTATACACTGAGCCATCTCATCAGCCCAGGAATCTGTGTGTGTGTGTGTGTGTGTGTGTGTGTGTGTGTGTGTGCTATGTTGCCCTGGCTGACCTGAAACATTCTATGTAGACTAGGCTAACCTCAAACTCAAAGAAATCTGCTTGCTTCTACCTCCTGAGTGCCTAGCTTACCTTATCCAGCCTGAAAAGTCATTATTTTAAAAGTTGGTGACTAGGTATTTCATTTGATTTTGGTTTTTCCAGATAGGGTTTCTCCGTGTAACTCTGTCTGTCCTGAGCTTGCTTTGTAGACCAAGCTGGTTTCAAACTCACAGAGATCTGCCTGCCTCTGCCTCCTGACTGCTGGGATTAAAGGCATACAATGCCATGCCCGGATTTTTCTTAAAAAATTTTTTCCCCTTTATTTTTATTTTGTGTGTGGATGTTTCCTCTGTATACCGCATGCATGCAGTGCCTGCAGAGGCCAGGAGAGGGCGTGTGCTCCCCTGAATTGGAGCTACGGATGGTTGTGAGCTGCCTGTTAGGTGCCGGAAATCAAACTCAGGTCCTCTGGAAGAACATCCGGGGCTCTTAACCACTGAGCTGTCTCTCCAGCCCTATATTTTCTAAAACTACTAAATGTACAAAATGATTAATAAACAAAAAATAGAAAAATATGTCCATATGTGCAATAAACAGTAGTAAAAAAAATTCGTCAAAGACAAAGTGAAAATCTTAAAAGCAGAGAGAGAGAAACAAGCCTTCTTTTAGAAGACAGTAATAATGGAAATCAGTAGAAATCAGAGTAATTTCTTTCAAGAGAGCAGCAAAAATGATGACCAACTAAGAGTATTTTGCCTGAAAAAAACAAAACAGACTTTCATACACGAGAATAAAATAAATTTATCATCAGATATAACAAAACCTGGGCTTTCCCATGAACAATAATAATAATAAAAAAACTTTTACAGAAATACACGACAGAAATACAATACAGAAAAGTATTCCAAGAGGATGGTTTGAGAAAAAAGGACAGGCAAATAAGTGAATCAGTAGATCTGAATAATGCCCTGGAAAATGCTCGTGTTTCGCCTGCAGTCCTCAATGCCTGAGAAACAAAAATATAAGCAAATACTAGGTCTTAATTTAGGAGGAATTATCAGATTTAAACTATTTCAACATACTTGAGTTCTGTAGGAAGGAAGAAGTGGTTAAGATAGCAACTTCAGGTTTTAGTAAGAACTTATGGAGAAGATATGAATAACCAATAAAAAATCAGAAGTTCAAGGTCAAACTTGGCTACATAAGGAATTTCAAGCCAGCTTAAGCTGCATGAGAGACTATATCAGATTATAGTTCTATTACATATATGTACATAGCATTTCAACTATTATATGATCCATAAGTTATATACTTTCATTTTATATTTTTACATATTACATATATATATTTAGTTTACCAATAAAGAACCAAACATATATTAAGGATACAAATACAAATTCAATCCATTATTCAACTTCCAAGAGAAAAAGAGGGTAAAAAAAAAAAAAAAGAAAGAAAGAAAAGAAAATGTGGGATAATAGAAAGCAAAAAATTAATAGAGGAAAAGCTAAATTGTGAATGACCTAAATCATGCATTTAAAATGCAGATACATGTCAGATCACATTTTTAAAAATCCTGCCATATACTATTTAATTGAAATATATTGAAAAGAATGTTTTGGAAAAGTTGAAAGTAAAGTTACCAGAAAAGATATACCAAGCAAATACTAAGCAAAAGAAAGCTAGGTCAATATTTATATAAAGCAAACTGGACTATAGGCTAGGCTTGCTGGCCCACACCTGTAATCCTAGCTACTGTTTGATAAGGAGGGTCAAAAGGTCAAGGTCTGTTTTGGCTACATTGTGAATTCAAAGCCAGTCTGGGTGACTGAGCAAAACACTGTCTCAAAATAAATAAAATGGGCAAGGAGAGTAACTAGGCTAACTCAAAGTTAGCCTATGCATTGCCAAGTACCCCAGTACTGCAAGTAAGAACACTATAAAAATAAAGAGCATGTTTACAAGGAACCCCTGTCTCAAAAAAAACAATAATGATAATAAGCATTTGTAACAGTAATAATAATAAAGAGGAAGTCTAGAAAGGTACGACACTGCTAGCTACTCCTGTCACCTCGATGTCTTTCTTTCTGATCCACTTTTCATTACTGAAGCAAGGCACCTGCAGCTGGCAAGCCTTACAAAGAGCAGGGATTTATCTGAGTCACAGTTCCAGAGATTAAAGATATGGCATGACATCAGAGCAACGCTATGACAAGAGCTTTTGTGGGAATGAGGGGACCTCACTGAGCAGGAAGCCGAAGAGTAATCCGGGGGTCAGGCTCAGACTCCTAGAGCAGTTTGCTCTTAGGAGAACTCCAGGAGAGCAGCATTCCCATGGAAACGCACTACCTTCCATAAATATTGTTAGCCTTATCAACAGACTAAAGGAGACAAATCATCTCGACACATTGCAAAACAAATATTTGTAAAATTTAATGTTTATTCTTGATTAAAAGTTTTTAGTAAAGTAGAAAAGAAAGAAATAAAAGGAAACTTTAAGGCCTGATAACATCTACGAAAAACAACAGAACACTTTTACAGTTACACATCAGAAATAACCCTTTTAAAAAAAAAAAAAAGTATGGATGCTTATGACCATGCTCATATTTAATATTGTTCTGATAAAGCAAGAAAAATAATAATAAAGGCAGGAAACAAACACAAAATTGTCACTTTATTTAAATCAGACAATTTTTCTCTGTAGCAAACATAACCGTCACCCCACAGCTAAGCAGCTTAAAACAATAACAATTTTATTTGCTTGAGGTTCCTCATATTAACAATTTGGGCTGGACTCAAAGAGGCAATTCATTTGCTGGGGCTTCCTGGGGTCATTTATAGGATTGTGTCACCCAGCAGCTTGGATTGGAGCTGAATGACTGAATCGTTTCACATGTCTAGTGACAAATGCCCAAGCAGGTTTAGAACTTTCCCGGCTATCATAGCAGATCTTTGTTCTCTGTGCCTAATCCAAGCTAGCAGACCCCAGAGTCGTAGGTTAAGAGGCAAACGCAACTTTTGCAAGCCTTCTTAAGTCTTGGTCCTGGAAGTTCTTCGGCATTGCTTCTGCTGTATGCTGTTGATCAAAGCAAATCACAAAGCCAGCCCAACTTCAGTGAGTTCAGAAAGTGGTTTCTTTTTCTTTGAAAAGATAAAATAAAATAATTGTTATCTATTGTTTTTGAGGGTAGATGTTTGTGCATATTATGGTGTGAGTGTGAGGGTGTGTGTGTGTGTGTGTGTGTGCGGGCCTGCTCATAATCCCAGTTCTTGGGAAACTGAGACTGGAGGTTGGTGAGTTCTATTAAGCTCCTGCTCACTACAGCCCCCCTCCTGAATGACCACCAGGCACTCAAACCAGGACCTTATATAGAAAATAAAGGCCAGCTCATGCCTGAGAACTCACCCTTCCCCTTGCGGGAGACTAAGAACCTTCTATCTTGGGTCCAGCGCACTACATCTCTGGCCCCGCACCTTGGCACCGGTGAAGCCCGAGAGCAGCAACAATAAACCTGAGCTTGTTTGCTGCCAATTTGGTCTAATCTGGTCACAGCGTTGAACCCAAGCTTCTCAAGTTCAACTTCAGCTTGGAATACAGAACAAGACCCTGTGTAAATAACTAAATACACAAAATTTAAAGGTCATCAGTTGTTCTGAGGATTCAGCGTTCAAGGACACCAAAAAAAAAAAAAAAAAAAAAAAAAACCCTGATTTTGAGAAAAAATATAAATATCATCTAAGGTTGAACATGTATACATCCCAAGGCCCAGACATTCTTCTGGGCATGTGCTCTAGTGAAACTTATTTTACTATTTCATTGTGCAGTTTTTGTTGTTTTATTTTGAGGCAATCTCATGTAATCCAGGCTATTCTCAAGCCTGTTATGTAGCCAAGGATGGCATTGAACTGAGCCTCCTGACTCCACTCTCAGGTTCTGGGAGTCTAGATGAGTACCATCTCCATTCAGCTTGCTCCACAGAAACTATTAACCCTTAAGGTTAGGCTGGGAGTCTGTCTTAGTTCATTTTGTGTTGCTGTAACAGAACACCTAAGACTGAGTAATTTATAAAGAACACAGATTTATTTCTCACCATTTCAGAATCTGGAAGAGCCAAGATTAAAGGCGGTACAACTAGTAAGGTCCTTCTTTTCTGCATGATCCCAGGCTTTGAGAAGGATCCAATCAAATGAAAATTTGAGGTACTTGTGCTGGCTAGTTCTTAAGTAAATTTAACACAAGCTAGAATCACCTAGAGGAAGGCACCTTACAACACACCTATTTCAGATCTGCTGTAGGCAGGCCTGAAGGGCATTTTCTTAATTAGGAATTAATGAAAGAGAGCCCAGTCCTTTACAGGTAGTGCCAACTCTGGGCTTGTGGTTCTAGGGTCTATAGGAAAGCCGACTGAGCCAGTCATAGGGTGCAAGCCAGTAAACAGCACTCCCGCATGGCCTCTGCCTCGGCTCCTGCCTCCAGGTTCTTAAGTATAAGCCAAGTAAAGTCTTCCCTCCTCAAGTTGCTGTAGGTCATGGTGTTTTACCCCAGCACTAGAAACCCTGACTAAGGTAGTAGTGCTGTTCATAAGAGAAGGCGAAAGGAAACCACTTGGCTAGGCACTACACCGTGAAGAAATAACCAGGCAGTCTTCTAGAAAGAAAGCATTATGGAATGCCCCATCTTCCTAATTGCACCTAATTCAGGGTCCTTGCTTCCTTAGGTCCTCTTCGTACATGTTCCTATTATGACCCTCCTATTGAGATACCGCATAGTCCTCCGAAGCTCCAATGCCTCCCAGCTGGAACAGTGACAAACACAACTCACTCACATACAGGCATACCTGGTGGTCTTTGGCTGGGAGACATAACAGAATGAACATAAAGTTTATGTCTATAGATGATATCACCTTTGAAACTTCCAGTTGGGAAGTGTTTGGTATAACCCATAATTACTTGATAAAATGGAGGTGATGTGGAATTGAGAGAATAGATGTGTTGCAGCCGGTGTGATGACTTACAGAGTGAGTAAAGGCACTTGTATCAAGCTTGGGACCTGCTTGGTAGAAAGAGTCAATTCCTACAAGGTATTCTCTCATCTCCACCTGCCTCCACACTGTTGCACACATACACACACATACACAGACACACGCTCACACAGACACACACAATACATGAAGTAAAAAAGAATTTAAAAGAGTGTTTGTGTATATATACAGATAGGATTTCAGGCTCTGGAACAGGACAAGGCACTAACAGATAAACTTGAACCAGTAAAAATCACATCAGGACACTGTTCATAACCAGAAAGAGGGGTCATCATTGTGCTTTGGCTTGACTCAGTTTCCCTCCAGCCATTGATAGCTTGGGGAAAAGATAACTTATAGAGATTGAGAATGACCTGCCCTGAGAAAAAGAAAAGAAGAGAGGGACTGGAGAGATAGTTCAGTAGTTAAAAGCACTGGGTGCTCTTGCAGAGGACCAGGGTTTAATTCCCAGCAACTATCTGTAACTCCATTCCAGAAGATCCAATACCTTACAAGGGCACTGCAGGTATATGGAGCCCAGGCATACAAGCAGGGAAAATACACATGAAATAGAAATAAATAATCGAAGGAGGAGGAGGAGGAGGAGGTTCTCGGGATGTTTCATAGGTGAGGAAATGGCCTCAGAGAGGTTGTACACCTTATTTCAGGTCACTCGCTCAGTAGAATAGATACTTGCCTGTAATCTGGCTTCAAATATCACCTAAGTTTGTCCATTGACCATAACAGCTTGGACAGGAATCCCCAGCTGCACACGGCATAAAGCACACAACAGGAATCCAAAGGAACAAGGAGAGCCAGACATAGAGAGAAATTTGCTCTGAAGGACCACTCAGAAGGGTACCTGCTCCTTTTCCACTCTTGTCTTTCTTACAAACATCCAAGAATAAGTTACTCACAAAACGCTAGAACTAGGGGTGGAGGAAGGTACAATTTAAACCGGTCACTGGGCTTGCGTGGTACCAGATCCCTCAAGTAGCAAACTTCCCTAAAATAGAAACGAGAGCTGGCTCCAATGCATCGACATCGTCCCCGTGACTCATGTGGTAGGCTCTTCCTCAGCCTGTGGAAATGAGACAATTGGAGTGCTAATGGGCCTGCTTGCTGGAAATGAACGTGTAGTCCTGAGTTCCCCTGGATACCCTCGGAGTCATAATGTCCTGCAGGACTGGCTCAGAGTCAGTGTTCCCTCTGATCCCCTTCACTTTTCAACAGGATACTGAAGAGGTAAGGGAGTGTTTCCAAAGCAACCTTAAGCATGGGACAGGACATGAAACTACAGGTAGAGAGAGGCCACTCCTCAACTGCCATCCACTCTGGTCTCCAGTCATGTGTTACAGCCCCCTTGCTCCCTGTCCTTCTGCTCTGCTGCTCTTTCTGCTCAGCTGAGCACAGGGCTGAGGATGAACCTGAGCTTGTTTGAGACTGACTATTTTTTTTCTTTTGAGGAAAATATACACCATCTTTCTGGATCATGGAAATGGAATAAAATCAAGTTGGCATTGAAACATTAGCAGAGAACTTGGTTAGTTCCCCCAAGTAGAAGCAAAAGAGACTGGAAAGGACTTCTGCCGGTAGTGGCATTCTTGTGGAGCTCAGCCATTCTTGTACCTGTGTACCTAGGAAATCCCAGGTTCATTGAATCTGCCTGCCACACCCTTTCCTGTCTCATCTTTGGCTGACTTCAGCCATATCAATGTCCCTTTCATCAATCTGACCTCACACATCCAGTTAGTATTTTGGAACACAACCTGCTCCTCGGTTACCCAGCAACTTATGATGTCATCATGTGTCCTTCCAGGTGGCCATACCTGGAAGGAGTGGTTACCTTGCCCCTTAAAGGGCCAACCCCAACACGTGGTCTCTCTCTTACTATCTCTCTCTCTCTCTCTCTCTCTCTCTCTCTTTCTCGGGGCATCCCTTCCCTTTTCTCTCTCTCTCTCTTTATCTTCATGTCCTGCTCCCCCCTCCCTCCATACCCACTTAATAAACCTCTTGCAGAGAATGTCGGTTGACCAGCCTCAGGCTTTTTAATAACATTACGTTGGTGCATTGCCCCTATGAGCCCTCCACAGAGAAGCCACAGACTTGGCTTCCATTTTTGCATTGCTTTATTTTTTGTTTTTGTTTTATTCGTTTGTTGTGCTTCATTTTCTTGAGACAGGGTCCAGTCTGGACTGGACTCAGATTCATGCTCCTCTGTGTGCTGGGATTACAGTTACATGCTTCCACATCCATTGTGCTTCCACTTCTGAAATCTCATGTTCTATTCTGACCCCAGTTCCTACCCTGTTAGCTCAGCTGCTCTGTTATATTCACTCCATCCGTTCTGTAGCCCATGGACTCACTCATTTGTAGAGACTGTAGTGTTTTCTTTTATTGATTCTGTCTTAATCAGTCTTTGTCTGTTTCAGGAGAGAGGAGTGAGGCAGCAAAGGCCAGTTGTTAGGGCCGAGGCTGGCCCTGAAACACTACAGGGAGGGGGAGGAAGGGAGAAGGGTCAGCTGAGTTAGGGGCCTATAGAGAAGCAGGCCAGAACAATTGAGAACAAAGGCTGGACGCTCTTCCGCTGAGGCCCAGAGCCTGGCCTTGGCCTTCCGTGAACAGCACTAGGAAATGGCTGAGATTCCAGATTTGGGAGGAAGAGACTGGTAAACAAGAGCTGGGCTCTGAGAAGAGAGCAGCTTCTCTGGGTTTTAGGGAGGAGCCAAAGTAGTCAGTTTATTTGCTATGTAGACATAGAAGACAGCTGTCAGACTAGGCAAGTCTCTGGGAAGGCTTCATCCCAACCTATCTTCCCAAAACCTGAAATTCATCCCCACTGATGATGCTTCAAATAGTTTCAGTGAAGAGATGTGCACAAAAATGAACCAATAGATTGACACTCCAGTATCAGGCATTGTCTGTAGTTTTACGGCTAATCTCATCCCATTTTTGCTCTAGATCTCAAGGTGGGAATATACTATTAATATCCCCATTTTACAGATAGGAAAACTGGCTTTGAAGATGAAGGAATCTGCCCAAAAGCCCACAGACCTAATTTCCAAGTCTTCTGGGGGGAAAAAAAATGTGGACACAGTCCATGGGTTTTCAAAGCTTGTTCCCAAGGTTCGGAGTCATTCCTATTTTCTAGTCTCCTGAGACTCCGTTTATCTGCTCCTGGAGAATGGATACACACTTGCTGTTCTCCCTCTTTGATTTCTTGCCCTGCAACCCCTTTGGACTCTATTTTTAGCTCCTTACTTCAGTGTCTGAGACTCAACCTCTGGTCCCCATTCTCCTCTGTTAAGGTGGCTGTCTAATGGAAAAGGACAGAGACGAAGATTTAAGCATCAGCTGTGAATAGAGCTGTGGCGTTGGAGGGTTAAGGGTGTGGGCACATTTATGGTCAGCGTGAGGATTTCATTTAAGAAATTCTAACGCAGACATGAAGCAAACCTTAGGGCTGACGTTAGTGTGGGGGAGGGGGGAGAAGAGAGGGTATAGTCAGAGTGTAGAGGTCAGAGAGTTTCTCACCTCTGGTCCCCTCCCAGTTCTCTAAGGCAGGAGGGCCAGGCAGGAAGCATCCATTTCCTCAAAGCTGCTTCCCTACTGGGACAGAGTCTCAGTCACAAACAACTACCACCACCCCACCCCTCCCCTTCTTCCCTTACTGCTGTGAGCTCAGAGCAACCAGACAAATTGTGTGGGACAAGAAGAGGAGCTGAGAGCAGCCATGGGCTCTGGAGGAGTGGGCCTCCTGGGGACTAGGTGGCCTCTGCCTCTTCTGCTTCTTTCCGTCATGGGTGAGTGGGGCCCTCCCTCTCCTGGCCCACGCTCCTGGATTCATGGGGACCCATGGTCTGGATCCAAGGCCAGCAGGACAAAAGAGGATCTTTGGTGTCTTTCTTCTCTTTAGCAGTGGAAGTACCAGAGACAATGCTGGGGTGGGGTTGGGGGGACTCTGTACAGCAGCAGCACGTGGTGTGGATGTGGGCATGGGGGTGTGTGTGCAACAGAGACAGAAAGATGTGCACAGACCCTGGCCTGTAGACGCTGACCCTCTCCCCTCCCAGTTAGCTTTGTATTTGGAAACAGATGGTCAGTCATATGAGCCATCTAGCAGACTCCGGTACAAGACACGGAAGGGGCACAGTGCAGGGAGTCTCTCTTTCCCTCCTAGGAGTCAAGGCTCTGGATTCTCCGCCCCAGATCCTAGTTCACCCCCAGGACCAGCTACTTCAGGATCCCGGCCCGGCTAAGATGAGCTGCAGAGCGTCGGGTCAACCACCTCCCACTATCCGCTGGCTGCTCAATGGGCAGCCCCTCAGCATGGCGACCCCAGACCTACATTACCTCCTGCCCGATGGGACTCTCCTGTTACGTCGGCCCCCGGTCCAGGGACGGCCACAAGATGACCAGAACATCCTCTCAGCAGTCCTGGGTGTCTACACGTGTGAGGCCAGCAACCGGCTGGGCACAGCAGTGAGCCGGGGTGCTAGGCTGTCTGTGGCTGGTGAGGCTTGGGAGGGTAGGCCCAGGGTGAAGCAGAGCCAGCCTGAGACGCTTGCATCCAGGGAGATATGAGGGGCTGACTATGAAGAGAGGTCTGGGCTGGACTGTCCTGGGATGGAGAACTAGGTTAAGCTGGGCATAGAAGGCCAAGGCAATGGGTACAGCAGAATTGGGTAAGCATGCTAGGATAGGCCAAAGAAGGACTCAGGGTGGGGAGACATGCTTCCTGCTGACCTGCTGACCTAACAGTCCTCCAGGAAGACTTCCAGATCCAGCCTCGGGACACAGTGGCTGTGGTGGGCGATCGCCTGATTCTTGAGTGTGGGCCTCCCTGGGGCTACCCAAAGCCCTTAGTCTCATGGTGGAAAGATGGGAAACCCCTGGTCCTTCAGCCAGGGAGGCACACAGTGAGTGGAGCCCCCTTCCTGGGAATTCCTTTTCCCATATGTCATCCTGTCCTGGGCACACCAAGCAACTGACCTGCTTGCTCTCCCGTGGCAGGTCTGAAGAGGGGAGGGCAACGAGACCTGGAGGGGCCCTCTAACCTCTAAGCTTCTCACATTGAAGACTTCAGAGCATATCTAAACCTGACAGGTGACAGGGGATTCCCTGATGGTGTCAAGAGCAGAGAAGAACGACTCCGGGACCTATATGTGTATGGCCACCAACAACGCAGGGCAGAGGGAGAGCCGAGCAGCCAGAGTGTCTATCCAGGGTAAGGACGGGGGTCATCTAAAATCCAACAACGGCTCAGGAGATAACTCAGTGGGTAGTGCTTGTTTCATGTATGTGAGCTCCGGCACCCGTATCAAAGCAGAGCATGACAGTGTGTGTCGATAATTCTAGCACTGGGTTGGAATGGAGACAGGTGGATCCCAGAAGCTAGCCAGCCAGTCTAGTCTACACAATGAGTTCCATGTTTAGGGAGAGAACTTGCCTCAAAAAACAAGGTGAAAAGCACTAATAAAGGAAGATTCTATTGTTAACTTTTGGTTTCCATATGCATGTACACATATGAACATGTACTTAAACCCACACACAAAGGTAAGGTAAGGTAAGAGACTCCAGTTAGCGTGGTGGTCAGGTATGGGGCTCAGGGTCCAAGTGGTGAGGCCTCCCTGTGTGAGGCTAGGATGGACATAGGAGAGTACTCTAGACCTGCAAACTCTGGGAGAAAAGTCTATTCACAATGAAGGTATGCTTCACTCTTCCATCCCACCCCTGGGCCCCCCTACAGAGTCAAGGGACCATAAGGAACGGCTGGAGCTTCTGGCTGTTCGCATACAGCTGGAAAATGTGACGCTGCTGAACCCGGAACCTGTGAGAGGCCCCAAGTCTGCGCCAGAGGTGTGGCTCAGCTGGAAGGTGAGGCAGAGGACCCAGAAAGTGAAGCCCACCCACAGTTCACATGAGGGCTGTCATGAGCTCCCCAAGCCCTTATCCTTACTCAGACCGACATCTTCCCAGGTGAGCGGCCCTGCTGCACCTGCTGAGTCATATACAGCCCTGTTCAGGGCCCAGAGAGCCCCCAGGAATGAGGGATCTCCATGGACAGAGGTGCTGCTGGGTGGTTTGAAGAGTGCAAAGCTCGGGGGCCTCCACTGGGGCCAAGACTACGAATTCAAAGTGAGACCGTCCTCTGGCCAGGCTCGAGGCCCTGATAGCAATGTGCTGCTCCTGAGGCTGCCGGAACAGGGTCAGGAAATGATTCTGATTGACCTGGGGAGGTGGGAGGGGCGGGGAGGTGGTTCCTTATCTATCCAGTCCAACCTGGACATGTTGGGGGGGGCAGGGCACTCCTATTTGTGGATTTGATTGTATATCGTGAAGCAAATAGCTGTTTAGGAGCATCTTTCCTTGTGGAACTCAGGCTCTCCATCCCCCAGCTTCATTCCTGACCCTTGCAGAGTCTTCTCCTTTAGCACTTCTAACAATCCCTTCCTTTCTTCTAGTGCCTAGCGCCCCACCTCAAGAAGTGACCCTAAAACTTGGCAACAGTAGCGTCCTTGTGAGTTGGGCTCCACCACCTACCGAAAACCATAATGGCATCATCCGTGGCTACCAGGTAGTCCCCATAAAAGGACATTGACCAGTATACTTCTCTCCCCTGGAGTCCTGCATGTCCTTGTCCTGACCATTACAAACCAGCCTGCAAGCCAAAAAGTGAAGGGATTTTGCTTTTGTTGAGCAAGTGTGCAAGGGCCTACTTCGTCTGCTAGATCCTGCCAAGCATTTTATAAGTTACCGTCTCACCTCATCTCACAAACAGCCTTAGGCTATTGTCTCCAATTTATACATGGAAAGCCAGATTATGGTCTGGAAGAAACAGAACAGAAACCAAACCAGGCTGGGTCAGACCTGAGTATTTAAGACAGGAAAGTGCAAAATGCAGGTGTTGGGCTGGCAAGAGAGAAATCACCTGGAAACTACTTCGGAGGACAGACTCTCAGGCTCTTTCCCAGACCCCCAAGATCTGAAAGTGTAGACTTGGTACCTGTATTTTAGCAGGCTTCTAGGTGACTCAAAAGCACACTAAACCAGGTCCTGGCTGCATTTTAGCAGATTATTCTTGTCCCTCTGTCAAGAGAGAAGTCTCTCTCCCTTGGCAGAGGAGGGGGCATGGGGACTGCGTTGCTGTCTTATTAGGCAGCCCCCAGGAAGATGGCACAGTTAGGAGGAGCACATGCCCATCTGCACATGAAGGGCTCTGCTACTGGGAAGGTATTGGGGCAAATGCTCACCCTTACTTATATCCCAGGTCTGGAGCCTGGGCAACACCTCGTTGCCAGCTGCCAACTGGACTATAGTTGGTGAACAGACCCAGCTGGAGATCGCCACACGAATGCCAGGCTCCTACTGTGTGCAAGTGGCTGCAGTCACTGGGGCTGGGGCTGGAGAGCCCAGCAACCCCACCTGCCTCCTTTTGGGTGAGGGAAAGGCCCTACCCATAACCTCCACCCCATCCCCACGCTATCCTTCTGTCTCCCTGTTCCTGTCTTACATTTCCAGCTCTTCCCTCTTGTCTGTTGGTCCCTCGTTGTTCCACTTGCCCTCCCTCTGAGCTCCACATCCCAAACAGAGCAGGCCATGGAGCAATCAGCACGAGACCCCAGGAAACGTGTTCCCTGGAGCCTGGATCAGCTGAGGGCCACCTTGAGACGACCAGAAGTCATTGCTAGTGGTGCTGTTCTGCTCTGGTTGCTGCTACTAGGCATCGCTGTGTGTATCTACAGACGACGCAAAGCTGGGGTGCACCTGGGACCAGGTGAGAGAGAGAGGGGCCTTATGTAGAGATCTCCATGGGCCCAGCCAGTATACCGCAGGGGTTAAAGCTCTCGGAAGATGTTGAGCTCTTCCTTTAGTGACTCCCTCATTTTCTTCCAGGTCTGTACAGATACACCAGCGAGGACGCCATTTTAAAACACAGGTGAGGGGCCAGGGGGGAGTCAGAAAGGGCAAAGCGGTCAGAGGGAGTGGAGTCTTGGCAGAGAATTGAGTGGAGTTTTAGTCTAGCCTTCTGCCGGGCAAGTTCAGGGTCCTGTCTGAAGCTCTCCTGGACTCCATGTGACAAATAATCTCTTTCCATGTACCCCCCCCTTGACAGTTGAGCAAACTGAATCATAAAACCTAAATGTTTTGGCCAAAGGCTTCACAGCTGGCCTGCTGACCTCCTATCTGTTGATCTTGTCACCCACTCTCACTACACCTGCTGTTAAGTGACTAGGAGCTGGCAGGAGAGGAGCAGCTCTTTCTGTGTTCCAGCATCTACCTGAAAGCTTCTCTGCTTTTTAGCGTCTCGCCTGCCTGAGCCAGCCACCTGTCCTGCACATGCTGCACCCTTCCAGCAGGGGGCGATCAGCCCCTAGGTCATAGATTCTTATTGTTCCAAACCGGCACCACACAGCAGATACCTCTGCTCCAGGGTTTAATTACCAGAGCTAGTCTGTAATCACGAAACCAAATTCTAAGAAAAGCCTGCAACCCTCACCACTGCCCCCTTTGGTTGGGTTTTACACTAGAAAAACATTTCCTCTCCTTGTCAGCTTCGTTAGCCTTTACTCTCAGGCTCTGACTTGTTTGAGAAGAGTTTCTTGAGTACCTGCTCTGTACTAGGTATATCAGGCCCTCGGGATGCCGAGTTTTCTTTCATATTCTCAGCCCAGAGAAAGGTTCTGGCCTCCTAGCATCATGCTCCCGAGTTTTCCCTTGCTCTTTGGCTTCTCTCTTCCAGCTACCTCTTGCCTCCTGAGCTTTGTCTGCTCTACACCCCTGGAACCTCTCCCTTTGTCCTCAAGAGAAGTTCTATTCAGATTAGCTCATCCATTCCTCTGAGGTAGACTCCATCCACCAGGAACTTGCAGACTAGGCAGAAGCAGGCAGGAGAGCAACCTGGAGTTGGATATGCAGTATGGTCCAGATACGTGGAAGAGGCTAGAGAAACAAAAGAAAGCACAGCCCACACTTACCGTATCAAGACCAGTGGAAAGGGGGAGAATTAGCTTGCTGTATCCACAGGGAAATGGAAACCATTGGCTGGGAAATAAGGTATATTGGTCAGAACAAAGGAGAAGGCGAAAAATCTGGAAGCTAGACCAAGGACACTTAGCTGTGCTAGCATCTGAACTCTTATCTTGGAACCACTGAAGTCTCTAGGCAGAGAAGTAGTTTTATTAAATTGCTGCTCTTGAAGGATTATTCAGGCAGTGGAAAGCCAATATCCACTATACCAAACTTGTATTCTGCCAGCAGTAATTTCAAATTTCCCCAGCTCGGTTCACAGCATCAGTCTTATGTGGAGGATCCTTTGTTGGCATTTAACAGTTGAGGGAGCTGGATGGTTCAAAGAGACTAATAGATTTACTTCCTGGGTTGTAAATCTGAACTGTGGCAGGCAGGGATTTTCATTCTGCATTTGCCTGGCTCCATATTTGTTCTTTTCATCTCAGTATCTACAACCATCTCTCCTACCCCCACCCCCTCAACTCTGGACAACTTAGACTTCCCTTGATCACAAGATAGAAAGATGTGCCGAGTTCAGTGGCACCAGGTCAGAGGAACTCAGGGGGGCGGGGCTGCAAAGTCCGAAACACAGCTGTAAAGATAAAGCAAGCGCCACCATTTCTGCTCCTGCTGTTGCCCTCTGAGCTGGACATCTTGACTGATTCAGTTCCTATTCCTCCCTGCCTCCCTCGCCTTGCCACCACCACCACTGTCGCAGAATGGACCACAGTGAATCCCCATGGCTGGCGGACACCTGGCGTTCCACTTCTGGCTCCCGGGACCTGAGCAGCAGCAGCAGCCTCAGTAGTCGGCTGGGAGTGGACCCCAGGGACCCACTAGACGGCAGGCGCTCCTGTGACTATGCCTCCTGAGGAGGGACCTCGGGGGGGGGGGATGGCAAGGGGAGGGGGGCAGTGCGCTCACTATAGCTCCTTTTGTCGTTTTTATGTCAGTGATCTCCTGGGACCCCCGGAGCCCCGGTGTGCCCCTGCTTCCAGACACCAGCACTTTTTACGGCTCCCTCATTGCAGAGCAGCCCTCCAGCCCTCCAGTCCGGCCAAGCCCCCAGACACCAGCTGCTAGGCGCCTTCCACCCAAGTTGGCTGGAACCTCCAGCCCCTGGGCCAGCTCAGATAGTCTCTGCAGCCACAGGGGACTCTATTCCCCACGCATGTCTCTGACCCCTGCAGAGGCTTGGAAGGCCAAAAAGAAGCAGGGTAAGGATGGGAGAAAAGTCATGCTCTGGGGCAGATAGGGGTAAGACTAAGAGTGATAATGTGTTCCGTTGGCCTTAATCAAGCTGAACAACCTCCCCCCAACCTGCCATTCTCTCCCAGTGGACACAGACCTCTATCTCAATCGGCATAGCCCTCAGCTGGGTGTATGTTCACCTCACCTCAGACAAACCAAAAGCTTAGAACATGGGTCTTGGCTCCCAGTTTGCTTCTCAGAGGGAAATACGTGTAATCCGCCCTCTGTGTATGCAGATTTTGTATTCACGCACTCAACCGTTCACAGGTGAAAACTGTTCGTCCAAAGGATTCTGAGCCCAGTACCTTGCCATATCAAGAGATGCTTTTAATAGCTATGGGACAGATTTATCTCTTTACTTGCATCTACCTGTTTTAAGCTTCTAGAAGTAAACAATTAAAATCTCCATTTCTCAAGCAACTACTATGTGCTAGCTGCCTTTACCTATATTTGCTATCATGCTTAATCCTTGAAGTAGGTTAGGTGGATGTTGTTTCTATAATTCTACCAATAGGGAAAGATCAACAGATGATTGGGTAACTTGTTCAAAATTCCAAAATAAGCTGCAGAGCTGAACTTTGAAGGCAGAACGATTTGTCTCCAAAGGTTACTGAATTCCCTGGGAATCACTTGGAAGGTCCCTGCTTTGAAGGCTGTTTTCTCAGCTACTGCCCTGCATGGCATTGCATTCTGCCTGCCATCTTTATGGACTTTCTACACTGCTTAGGGAGACTTAGCAGATGTTTTTATAGTCAGTTGTTTTTAAGTAGATAAAAATCCAACTTCAGTAAAAAGACAATGGTAGATTAAGAGTAATTAAGAGCTTGTTCAATATGGACAATTTTATGTGACTGTGAATGTTAATAAGCTGGCACTCTTTCTCATTTTGCCTCGGGGCTATTGCATTATCAATCTTGAGTGGTAATGAAATGTCAGCTAAAAACAGTTGGAATAAGTGTCATTTAGGGGTCATAAACTCAGTGGGAAAGCCTGCAGTTAGCATGCAGCAGGCCCTGGATTCAATCCTCAAAATCAACCAACCAACCAAACAAACAAACAAACAAACAAACAAATCAGCCTTTTTTGTGTAGAGAGACACAATGACTTTAATGGAATATATGATCCCTCTTGCAGCATTAACAGTTCTAGAAAAAGATGAGTTATTGTCTATGCCCATGTATTGTTTTCCTCCCTTCCTCTCTTTTTACCTCCCTTCTTTCTTCCTTTTTTTCCTTTGACGCTGCAGCTTGAATCCAGGAACTTCACACATGCTAAACACATCTCCCACAATTGACCCACGCCTCACTTCCATGGCCATTTCTTAGGCAGCTTCTAATACTATCACGAGACTTCCTAGCATTCAGTTTAGATTTTCACTTAGTCCTGCCTTCCGATCTCCCCAATCAGAAAACAGTCCAGTATCTCAGGACGAGGCTTGACTATTTGCTATGTCAGAAATGGAAATTATTAACAGATTCTTTCTAAGAAGAGGAATATTTGTCTTCATGAAGCAAATTTGATGGGGAAAGCCACATTGTGAGGGAATTGAGAGCAGGAAAACTGGAATGCACACAATCAAGAAAAGAAAGTTGGTTTAGGAAGTATTTGCTTGGGCCAGGAGCTTTACAATCTGTTTTTATTGAACCCTTAACATCATTCTTTGAAGCGGTTGTTTACAAATGCACTTGGCCAGAAAGCTTGATGCTTTTCACTGAGATCACACAGCTGAACCACTCATGGCTCTTTCCATTTTATCAGGCCCGGAGAAGGATCGGGGCAGGGAGAAGCAGGTTTCTCCTTCTTTTATCTAGGTTCAAGGTCCCAGGGACTGAGTGAATAACAAGGCTAAAACCAGGGCTGGTGAATGGGATTTGAAAAACCTACTCTCGCTGTCCCTAACAGCTGTCTTTTCCTTGTAGAGTTGCACCAAGCCAACAGCTCCCCACTGCTCCGGGGCAGCCACCCCATGGAAATCTGGGCCTGGGAGCTGGGAAGCAGAACCTCCAAAAACCTTTCCCAAAGCCCAGGTGAGAGTGTCTCTAAGGGGGAAGTGAGGGGTAAGGCGGGTTTTCAGGCTTACCAGGCCAGGCCTTCTTGGTTCTGCTGTTGTGTGTGAGTTCCAGTGTGTGCACCTGTGAAGCTAAATTGGCTGGGCAGTAAATTCAGGCCTGAGCAAGTTGGAATCTGGACTGCACATGATTATGGAGAATCTATCATTCTCAGGCCCAGACTCTCATTCCCCGAGAGAAGCTCCCCCAGCCATGGTAGCCTGGCGTGCCCTGAGACCACAGCTTCAACGCAACGCCAATGAGCTAGCAACTCGTCCACTCCCTCCAACACCCCTCTCTCTTCATGGAACCCTCAGTCATGAGCCACAGAACCAGTAAGAGAGCATGGATCAAGAAGCAGAGTTGGGACACTGAGGGCATGGGAGTTGTTGCTAAGATTAGACCAAGGCTGAATGGTGTGAACCTGAAGAAGGATACTGACTAACCTGGTATCTCTCCCATCCCCTAATCAGGTGTGTGGAGAAGCTCCAAGCTCCCTCCTCTGACCCACGGCCAGCATCACCTCTCTCCATCCTTAACTCTTCCAGGCCTCCCAGCCCCCAGGCCTCTTTCCTCTCTGTTCCTAGTCCAGTTTCCAGCAACCTGTCCAGCTCCTCACTGTCATCCTTAGAGGAGGAGGATCAGGACAGTGTCCTCACCCCAGAGGAGGTAGCCCTGTGCCTGGAGCTCAGTGAAGGGGAGGAGACACCCAGGTGAGTATCCTGGGAGAGATGAAACACTCCAGCCAAGGCATACTAGAAAGCATCCATGCCTGCCTCAATTGCCATGTTCCTGATATTGGGCCTAAACCAGTATACTGTTCTCCCATTTTTGCCTTTTAGGAACAGTGTATCTCCTATGCCAAGAGCTCCTTCACCGCCAACAACTTATGGCTATATCAGCATACCAACATCCTCAGGACTGGTAGACATGGGCAGAGCCAGTGGAGGGATGGGGTCTGAGGTTGGGAACTTACTGTGCCCACCTCGACCCTGCCCCACCCCCACGCCCAGTGAGGGCTCCCTGGCCAATGGTTGGGGCTCAGCTTCTGAGGACAATATCCCCAGTGCCAGGGCCAGCCTGGTTAGCTCATCTGATGGCTCCTTCCTTGCTGAGGCTCACTTTGCACGTGCCCTGGCAGTGGCTGTCGATAGCTTTGGTTTTGGTCTGGAGCCTAGAGAAGCTGACTGTGTCTTCACTGGTAAGTGGAACCACCTGACTTCCCTAACCAAGAGTCAAGGCTTCATTCCCCCTCACTGTTGTCTAGACAATTAGTTTTATTAAGGTGTGGTGGCACATGCTTGAAATCTCAGCATTTGGGGAGCTGACAAAGGAAATTACAAATTCCAGGCCATACAGTAGGGTCTGTTTCAGAAGGGAGGAGAGATAGTTTTTACTGAATGACTGCTATGTCCTAGGTAAGAAGTGTTTTATGTGCATTCTGAGGAGCTTCATGAGGAATATTCTTTACCTCTCTTTTTCAAATCAAGGAACACTAGGTCAGATAGCTGCATTAACTTCCTGAGGAGTCCCCATAGATCAAAGACAAATGGTCCAGTTCTGAAGCCTAGAGGAATTCAGCTGGATGGCCTAAACCCCCACCTCCAGGACAGTGCTATTCCCCGGATGTGGGTCTAGGAAGAGCTGCTCCACAGCTGATCTTCTCTCAACCGGCATTTCATAAGCCCCCTAGCTCCTGTGGTGCTTCCAGGCCTTATAATTGCCTGTCCATAGCTGAGGCTGAGCAACTCCTCAGCTCAGTCTCTCCCCATGTCATCAGGAGGGGATCTGGTGCTCACTGGCCCCTTAGAAGTTTACACACACACACACACACACACACACACACACACACACACACACACACAGGAGATTCCACATGCCTGCCTTACTTACCCTTACTCTGCTCTTTGGTCTCAAGAAAAACAATGAGGCTTATAACAAATGATAAGCCAGCTAGAGAGATGGCTCGGTGGTTGAGGACTTTCTAGTGTTCTTGAAGTGGATCCATGTTCATGTCCCATCACTTATTTCAGATGGCTCAGAATCACCTGTAATGTTAGCTCCAGGAGAACTGATGCCCACTTCTGGCCTCCATGGGCACTGCACTCACAAGAACTTTAATTTACAGAGACACATACATGCATACTTAAAAACAAAAAACAAAAAACAAACAAACAAAAAAAACTTAAAAAAAAAATCATCCAGTTCAAAAAGTGTCCATCCCATAGGAAAGAGACTACCCAGCAGTCGTAAAGGGAGAGTGCAGAGGGCCAGAGCTGGTCTGGAAAAAACACAAGCCATACTATTCTCTGTAAAAAAAAAAAAAAAAAACAACAACAAAAAAAAAAAACACTTATGTCATACCCAGGGGCTGCAGCCACTGGAACTGATGGACCGAGCTAAGGCTGGACCATGTTTAGGGGTGGGGATGCATGTGTGCCCTAAGCCAGGCCTGAGCTTTCTGCCGTAGATTGGTCCGTAGGAGCCAAATGGTGAACTTTCTGCTGACTCATATGTCTTCCTTGTCAGATGCCTCATCGCCCCCCTCTCCTCGGGATGATCTCTCCCTGACCCGAAGCTTCTCTCTGCCTCTGTGGGAGTGGAGGCCAGACTGGTTGGAGGATGCTGAGATCAGCCACACCCAGAGGCTGGGGAGGGGATTGCCTCCCTGGCCTCCTGACTCTAGGCTGCCTTCCCAGCGAAGCTGGCTCAGTGGTGCTGTGCCCAAGGCTGGTGGTGAGTATCTGGCTAGCTGGATAACATGGGCACCTTAACGGAGAAGCCCAAGAGAAGAGTCAAAAGGGAGTCTGGGGTCTGGCAGGAACTTTCTTCTCTGTCAACTTCCAGATTCTTCCTGAATTGTTCCTGAGATGGCCAGAAGAGAACCCAGACCACTCTCCTGCCCATCCCCAGGCCTTCCCACAGGTGGGGTCTTGGTCTATGCTTCTCTGTAGTAGAAGTCCAATGTTACTGGGCTCTGGAGAGTTATGTCACTGGGATTGTTAAAACAAATGAAAGTAAACCCAAATAGAATATAGGGAGACTTGGATTCAAACTGAGAACAAGACAGCATCTTCATGATATTGGACTCGCTCTTCACAAGCAGGGCCTTTGGCCTAAATAAGCCTGGCTCCTGATCTCCCACCAATGTGGCTGATGGGAAGAAAGGAGGCCAACAGTGTCTTAATGGAAGACAGAAATGGCTGTTGGAGAGGGTTATGGTGGAGGACACTTAGAGGATCCCTCTCATTTCCACCTGGACTCCTCTCTTAGAGGCCAGCTCAGCCCTTTCCCCAGCAACACTGTGCAAGGAAAATAAAGGAGGAAGATCATGAATGTAGTAATCCCTATCTAGTGTCACAGTCAACGCTTCAAAATTAAGTCAATGGAGGAGGCAAAGAAGAAGAAGAAGAAGAAGAAGAAGAAGAAGAAGAAGAAGAAGAGGAGGAGGAGGAGGAGGAGGAGGAGGAGGAGGAGGAGGAGGAGGAGGAAGAGGAGGAGGGAGAACATGGAACCAAAGCACTATTCTCATGCCGTTTCCACTAAGAACTTAAGGAACTTGATTCAATAAAACTGTAAAGACTTGAGTTCTGTGACGTCATTCCTTGGGCTCTATTTTGGGAAGGGCACCTGCAGAGATGTGAGAGTTACCTGGCTAGAGAGAGAAGAAAGTATTCACTGTTACTAAGGGAATGTTCTCATTTCTTTCTGGTCTGCAATTGAAGGGAAGTGAGGTGAGGTATATCTAGAAAGTTTAAACAAAATGTAGTTAAGGGAAGTGGGGTGCGGTTATAAGGGCCTGTGGATCTTGAAGAGCCAACTCCTGCTTTTTTCAGTCCCAGCCCTGCTCCCTAGAGTCCAGTTCCAGATGGTATCTTAAAAATAGACAAGCAGCAGAATAAACAAGCTACCCACAGAAGGTAGAATCACCTGGGATACTTGGCTAGTGGATACATTCCACACAAAACTACAGGACAGAGATGGACATTTGTGGAGGACTTCTGAGCCCTAAGCCATTGAAAGCCACTAGAGGGCAGGCTACCTTCATCGCTCAGACATGGTGGGAAAGGTCATTGGGCACAACACACATTTGAGCATGGCCAAACAAGATACCTCTAGTGCGTGTGCAGGAAAGGTTCTGTCAGCAGCAGGCCTAGTGGTGCTACTTCTCTAAATCCTGCAGCTCTTCCCGGAGTTTGCTGTGACTGGGGTGACCAGCCTGGCTGGTTTGCAGGATCTTGAAAGGAGCAATGAATGTTCCAGATACATGTCCGTTTGATTTTTTTCCCCCGTTTTAGATTTTTTTTTTTTTTTTCATTAGCTTCCTGGCAAAATTCCTCTTGAAACCATTCCAGCCATGCTTGCCAGACTGAAGGGGAAAGGGTATTTGCACAAATATTCAGGTCAAAGTAGAGGGCAATGTCATGGCTCTGAAAGTCCAAGCTATTTAGAGAGGATGGAGCAGGCAAGAAGCAAGGAGGACTTCAAGAAGCCAGCACAGAGAGTGACTGGGACATATATCTATGACAAACTCTAGGTTTCATGTAGTCTTGAGACCTTGCTATGTAGCTGGAACTGGCCTTGAACTCCTAATCTCCCTGTCTTCTCCTCTCAAGCACTATGATTACAGGCAAATGCCAGACTGGCTCTTAATTTACATTTATCGTGAGGTGAGTGTTCTCTTACAGAAAAGCAGATGGGCCCTGGAGGAGGGCACCAAAGAAGAGCTTGGCTCAGTTCTCTGAAGGTGGGACAGCAGTCTATGTGTTGGCTATTTGAATATCCCTAGAGTTGCAACAGGGTATTATAGTTTAGATATAAAATGTTCCTCCAACAGGCTTATATGGTAAAAGACTACCCCTGACTGGTGTCACTATTGAGAGAAGACTGGTCAGGAAGGCACTAACTTCATTTATGGGCTACTAGGAGACGTGGCATGCCTGGAGGAAGAATGTCACTGGGATGATGTATTTAAAAGACACCTCTTAACGGGGCCACTTCTTGTGTTTGTGAGCTTCCTGGATGCTATGAGGGGAGCAGCTCTGCTCCACCATGACACTTTGCCTCACCATTCCCACAAAACAAGATCCTGAAAAGCTGAGCCAAAATAAACCTTTCCTCCCTTAAGTTGTTTGTACGTCAGTGAACAGCAGACTAAGACACTGGAGGACAGTGGACTCACACACCGGAGGACAGTGGACTATCACACACTGAAGGACAGTGGGCTATCACACTAGAGGACAGTGGGCTATCACACTAGAGGACAGTCGGCCATCCCACTGGAAGACAGTGGACTGTCACACTGGAGGACAGTGGACTGTCACACTGGAGGACAGTGGACTGTCACACTGGAGGACAATGGGCTGTCACACTGGAGGACAGTGGACTGTCACACTGGAGGACAGTGTCACACTGGAGGACAGTGGGCTATCACACTGGAGGACAGTGGGCTGTCACACTGGAGGACAGTGGACTATCACACTGGAGGACAGTGGGCTGTCACACTGGAGGACAGTGTCACACTGGAGGACAGTGTCCACACTGGAGGACAGTGGGCTATCACACTGGAGGACAGTGGAGTAACACACTGGAGGACAGTGGACTATCACACTGGAGGACAGTGGACTGTCACACTGGAGGACAGTGGAGTAACACACTGGAGGACAGTGTCCACACCGGAGGACAGTGGGCTGTCACACCGGAGGACAGTGGACTCACACCCTGGAGGACAGTAGCATGACACGCTGGTGGACAGTGACTTCAGCTCCTCCGTGGTGCAGGCCAGGTCAGTGTTACTTATCACCTGTCCTTATCTTGTGATTTTAACAGAAATCCAGGGGATGCAGAAGCCACCAGTGTGTGTTCATCTACGGACCCTCACAGTCCACTCTACTCGCTGTAGTGCACAAAACAGACAAGCAGGGCTCAGGGATGCTTTTTTTTTTTGTTTTGTTCTGTTTTTTTTTTTTTCCCTTTTGTACAAACATGTCTCAGTCCAAAAAAAAAAAAATATATGGAAAAAAAAAGAGCTAGTTGTCTGGCTCCCAAGACACCTAAAGCTGCTGAGGACAGTAGGTTTCTGTGAGTCACAAGCATCATTGCTGGGAGGAAGGGCAACCCGTCCTTGCTCCTCTTGGCTCACACCTGTTGACCAGGGAAAGGGTTCCCATCCTTTCCCTGTGGAGCTGTCAATAAGCTCATGGTTTCATGAAGGGTCATCTTGGTTCCTAAGGAGAAAAAGGTGTGTGTAATAGGGGTTTGGGAGGGGGAACCTGCTATGTTGTGACAGGCCATGCACAGGAAGGGATCAGCCTTCTAATCTATGGCATACCCAGGCTCCACTGTCATGTGTCATTATGCCCTCAGCCCTTAGACCCTCTCTTTGTGATGTCCTCTGCAAGCCCTTTACTACTTTTCTGTCTCCCTCCGGCCTATCACCTCCCGCCCCAGAGCCCTCTGCTCTGTTTCTTTACGAACTCTGGTTCCCACCTCTCGACGTTTCTGTCCTGGCCTCTGGCTCTGGCTGCGGCTCCGGCTGCGTCCAGGGCCCCGAGAGCCCCGAGATCCTCGAGAGCTGCTGGAACCCCTGGAAGAATTGCTACCAGCGGTCGAGCAGGTGCTGGTGCCCTGGCCATGGCTCAGGAAGCTCGGTCTGCCATATGGGAGCCAGGCCTCTTCTGCAACATAATCCAGAAGTATAGCTGGGCCCCCAGGAGGAAGCAAACTGTCACTACTTGCCCACTGGCCACCCTGTGCACTCTCCCAGCTCTGAGTAATGACGAGGGATGGGCACTAGGTTCTGACAGGTTGAGGATCTAACACATGACCCTGATATGACAGGGGTTCAAAAACATGTGGGGAGCTCCTGCCTGTAGAGAGCTTAGGGAAGGGAGGACAGGCCCTACTTTTTCCTCATCCTCAGCTTCAGTCCTAGAGGGGAAAATCTTGAGAACTTTTGAGAGATAGAGTGAAAGACAAAAGCCAGCATCAGGGTTGACCACATGCATTAATCCAGTTGAAGGAGACACATGAGCTGGGGACCACTGGGACTTCTGCAAGCTTCCAGCCCCCTCCTGATGACCTGGCTCTCCTTACCATCTGTGTGGGGCCCACGCTGGGCCCCTAGAGGCACTGCCTGCACCACTCTTCTCTCCCTGATGCTGCTGTGATCTCGCTCAAGGGAAGACATGCTGCCTGCTGTTCTCAGACCCAGGGGCCAGTTTGTCTCTTCCTCTGGTGGTGGCAAGGGTGGTGGGGGCAAGTCTGGAGAGAAACCTGTTTTCAGTCTCCTGCTTCTTCTGGCACTAAGACTCTTTCCCCTTTCCCCCATCCCTGACACTGGGAAGCAACTAAACCTAAGGTCTGGTGTCACCTGCTCCATTCCTCTTGGTTTCCTGCCTGCTCTCTCTACTAACTGTCACCATTTCCCAAGCCCAGGGGTCCTCTCACCCCCAGGACTGTGCTCTCTTCTGTAGGGAGGAGCCTTGGGTTTCTTCCGGATTCGGGCGCGGTGTCCATGGAGTGGGGGAGTCATCTCTCCAGTCACCTGGTGAGCTCTCCCTGTAGTATTAAGAGACAAAAAGGGGGCAGGTCTGGGAAGGAGTGAGAAAGGGGGTGGAAGGTAAAGAGAAAACAAGCTTGGGGCGAGTTGAATGTCAGCAGACTCACCTGGAGCACTGCAGCCTGTACTAGGGACAGGACTCGGGGTGGGGTGATAGGAGACCGTAGGGACAGCACTCGGGCCAGCAGGCCTATCTTCGTGGCCACTCAGAGTGGGCTGGGATACGCTGAGAGGAGAACTTGGCCCAAGGGGCACCCTCCTGCAATGACATAAGACCTCAGCATTTTTTGTGCTATATGTTCATGCCCAACACTCAGATAGGCAACATATGAGCTGTCCCCCACAAGGCCTCAAACTAGTGAAGCATGAGGACATCCATGATTGCATGCAATGCCTTGGAGGTTTGCAGACCCACTCCAAAGAAAGGTAGCCTGAAAGATGAGTGAGAAGTTCTGTTAGATGGAGTCTCCCTTCCCACATCACACTTTCACTTGGACATAGCCATGAGACCTCTGTACCCTCTTCACCTATCCATCCATCCATCCATCCATCCATCCATCCATCCACCCATTCAGCCACAGAATAAATACATACTGAGGGCCCATCATATACAGGGTATTCTAGACCTCCTTACCTGGGCACCTGATGGAGATGGGGGATGTCAGTAGGGGGCTGGGGAGGATCAGGAGGTGAAGGGGTAAGAGTGGCTGTGGACTGCTCTCCATAAGAAGAGGTAGGGGAGGGAGTTTCCCCTTGGGGTGGAGCCACCAGGCAGGCTCCACTGGAGCTTGACTCAATCAAGCGGTTTTTCTCAGGCATTGGTGGGCACCATTCCTCCCGATCTGAGCTGAGGCAGATGAGACGTGAAGGACTGAGTAGCTTTATCATGTCTTCCCCTGGAAGCCTCTCTGCCCCCTGCTCTAGTCTTGGGCTTCTCCACATTTGAGGGGCATGTGCTTCTGGCAGTATCCTTACCTGCCCTTCAGCTCTCCCTCAGGCCCCTCTGGACAGCTTAGTTCACAGGAAGGGGGAGGTGGTGGCAGGGCTTCTGGCCAGCTCAACGAGGGCATCTGTACAGGTTTGCCCAGAAGCTTCCCTTTGCCTCCCCTGGCTCCTGAGGAGAGGAGATAGGGAGCACACCAGGTGCATGCAGGAAAGAGGCAGAGATGAGTCAGTGTGTCAGAAGGAAGTGACAAGCCAGGTGCCAGAGCATGTAGGATATTGTGGCTAGGACTAAAACGGAAAGGTTAAGAATTGGAGTCATACCACTGTCCCTCTCGCTCCATTCTGGAGGCGCATACTGGCTCCAGGTGCTTGGCTCTCCAGAAGAATGTTGAGGAAACCCTCCATGGAAGGTCTGCAGCTCTTCCCCTACTGGGTCAATGGTGCTGTAGACAGGACCCTCACCAGAGGTATTAGCACCCCGTGCAGTCTGAGCCAAGTACAAGGAGATTCCCGCCTCTGGGGAGGAGAATGAGCGAGGCCCAGGGGAGGAGGAAGACACACAAACATAGGGGACAAAGGAAAATGGAAGGCAGAAGGAGATTCTGTGGGATCAACCCCCTCCCCTACCCCAAGTCTGACATGTCAAACCAAAGCAAAGGTTAAGCTTTGATGGCTGTTCTGTAACTCAAGCCCAAGGTCCATTCCCTAATCCCCCAAGGACTAACCAACCTCAGGAAGACCAGGGTTCCTCAGATCCCTTCAGTGTGCCCCAGGAAGCTGACAAGTGAGAAGTGGGGGTGGGGGAGAGCTGAGTCTTGGGGGATGGGGGTAGGTGTGCTCCTAAGGGAATTAGAGCTCCTCACCATTGTAGTATCTATCATCTGGGTCAGGATTGCTGGGGCAGCGGCTTCCCCGGGGTTCCTGTGCTGAGGGACTTCGAGATGGGTGAGGCCAGGAGTCTGCCAGCCATGGGTAGGCAGCAGGGCCAAGGCCCACGGGTGGCCTAAGGGGGAGCAGGTGAATATTGGGAATGGGGAGCCAAAAGAGGCCAGCAAAGGGAGGAAGATGGCAGAGATCAAGAGTCATAGGACACAAACGATGGTTAGGGGTAGGAACTGAGAGAGGCTGAGCATGGAGAGGTGGTCAGGCCTGGAGTAGAAGGGGCACTCTATCTGTAGAAACAATTATCGTTACAAAGGTCACAAGAATTACCTGGAACTGGATCCAGAAAGGCCCTCAGAGTGTGGGAAGGACACTGAGGAAGATGAAGGGGGGAAGCGGTAAGAGAAGAGCCGGTACTGGGGTTCTGAACCCCACAGAGTAGAGAGCTTACCTGCAGGTGCGTAGGCAAAGGAGGCTTCGGAAAAGGAACCCGGAAAAAGAAGAGGGAAAATGAGGTGAGTGGTCAGGAACCCCATTTGTTTGTCAACTCCTTGGTCCTGGTTCCATATCTAATTATGTTGCACATGAAACCAATTTTATACTAATGTCTTGGAATGGGACTCAGGTCTCCATTTTTTTTTTTTTTTTTTTTCCTTTTGAGACAGGATAACATGTAACCAAGACTGGCCTTGAACTCCCTATGTAGCCAAGAATAGCCTTGAACTACTGATCCTCCTTCTTGCTTGGGGCTAGGGAGATAAGTAAGTGCCACCACATCCGGCTTCATTCTCACTTTTTTTTTTTTTCTCTAAAGCTTTCCTAAGTGATTCCTACGTGTAACCAAACTTAGAAATCTCTGACCTCAACCTCTCCAGATTTTGTCATCTCTCCGGAGATCGCTTTTATTAAAGCGTAGATATTAGAGCCGGCCAGTCTAGACAAAGAGTCACACAGGCCCTGCAACTTGAACCGTTCTTTCCTGTTTACTGAGGATGAGCTGCAAAGCCTGTGTCCCCGCGTTAAACCTAACTCCTTCATCCAAATTCAGGTCCTCCTCACTCTGGACCCGCCCTCTCACTCCCCAGCCGACTTTCCGCTCTTTGCCCCCCCCGGGGACCCACCTCAGCCCCCGCCCACCTGCTCAGGGGAGGCCCCACTTCCCCAGGAGCCCCGCCCACGTAGCCACCTCGTGCCCAGAGGCGTGGCTCTCACCGGTGTAGTGACTGAGCTCTTTGCGTTGCTTCTGGCGCCGGTAGAGGACAGCGCAGAGCCCGAGCAGCAGCGCCCCGCAGGCCGCGCTGCTGCCAGCCAGGAAGGCGGGCTCCCGCAGCACCCTAGCCAGCCGGTCCGCCAACCCCTCGCTGACCTCGGGCCCGGGCTCCGCTGCCGGAGGGGATGCTGTAGGGGTCAGAGAGATGAAAGGAGAGGAACCCAAAATCCAGGGGCTCGGAAGGCGCCATTCCGGACCCGTAAACCCAATTACCGCAGTGTGTTCCCCCAAAAGCTACTTTTTTTATTATTATTATTTTTAGTTTTTTTTATTGTCTAATTTTATTTTCTTAATTGTTTGAGACAAGCGCTTACTGTAGCCTTGGCTGGCCTGGAGCTCGCTATGTAGACCAGGCTGGCCTCCAATTCATCTGCCTCTGCCTCCCAAGTGAGGGGGTTAAAGGAAAGCTCTGCCACTCTTGGCTTCCCCCAAGTTCTCTAGCCCTGCTCACCCAGGCCCACCACCAGACTCACGCAGCTGCACTAGCACTGGGGCACTGGCCACGCCCACGCCAGCGCTGGTAGCTGCCGCCACCAGGGTTCGGTAGCGCTGGCCCAGTAGCAGTCCCCGGAACATGACAGAGCGTGCCCAGCCTGCTGCAGATCGATTGAGATGGAAGCGGCTTTCGTTACCCAGGCACCAGACCTAGGGAGACCCGGATAGGAGTGTAGTCAGGAATTGGAGTTAGGCCCCACGGAGAAACTGACGCTCCAGTTAGGGAAAAATCGGGCCTGGAGACAATGCTTTGAACCCCTTTGCTCTCTCCGAAACTCTTCCCGGACCCAAAGCCAGCCCTATGGGAACCTCCACCATAACTTTAGGCCCTATGTCTCACCTCCCCCGCCCACACCCGCAGCCTGCAGCCCAATCACCCAATCTCCAGTCCAACTCTGTACCTGATATTCAGTGATGACCCCATTTTGCTGGGAGGGAAGCGGAGGCTCCCAGGATACAGTGATACTGCTGTTGCCATCACCCCCCAAGGCCACAACCACTCCCTGAGGGGGGCCACTGGGGGCTAGCCCAGGGTGGAGCATGGTAAGAAGGACACAGATAGTCATTGCAAGCTGCCCCAAGCTTCACTCTCCCTGCTCTTTCACGAGTGAACAGAAAAGCAGCCTCCCTTCCCACCCAGACACCTTGCTTTTCGAATCTCCCTCCTCTCCAGTCTAGACATCACTGTGCAGGCGTCCTTACCCTCCTCAGGAATGCTCTTGGTCACAGAAGGGCTTTCAGCCCCCAGCCCCTCCTGGCCTTGGGCTTGCACCTTGATCTGGATTTGGGCCCCTGGGGGGAGTCCTCTCAGCACAGTACTTTGCTTGTGAGGGTTCTGTAGGTCCAGTACTGTCCAGCTTCCCTGGTCAAGGCCTGCAATCCTCCAAGACACACGGAACCCTTGCACCAGCTGGACTGGACCATCCACCTGTAGGAAACAGGACAAAGTGTGTAAAAGGCCCAGAGGAGGCTGGAGCCATACAGAACCCCAGGCCCAGCCAGTACTTCATTGTACTTCATTCCTTCTGCCTTCCCCAGCCACACTGCTCCTACTCACACTCCTTCTCAGATGCCCTCGTGTCGTGTCCCCCGTTGTCACCCCCACCTTTAACCACATCCCTACACCACACTCACAGTCCAGGACACCTGCAGAGTTCTGCGCCCAAGGACTATGGGCTCCTGCATTTGCACAGTCACTTCAGCTAGTCCTCTCTGGCCTCTCCACGGGTCATCCACTGGCCTAGATAGGCTGCTGTCTGCTGACCAAAAAACCCAGTCAGCAGGGGCCGCCAAAGGTAAGACATTCGTACTAAGGCCATGTGTATGTTCCGTCCCTGCCTGGCTCCCAGACTGTAAGGCAGTGCAGCACAGAACAACTGTATCGGGGGAATCTTACAGGGAGGTAATCTGGGGAAGCAGCTAATGTGAATGTCTTTTCTGTGCGTTCTTTAAAGGCCCCAACTCCTTGTCTCTAATAGGCACCCGAGTCCCCCAAGTCCCTTTTAGTCTTAACTAAATCTGTACTACATACAGTTAGGAGGCTCAGGGGTGAGGGGGCTACCAAAATGAATGACTATCACACTTCCTCATTTCCCTCTCCCTCCTTCCTTTCTTGGGCCCTTCCTGAGAGAGACACATGAGTTCCTGTCATAGCCCGGGCCATCAGTGTAAACCTGGCCTATCAAAAGAAAATCCCGTGGACTGCCACCATTCTGTGGTTTGGATGGGGTTGGGGAGGTGCTCTTGGTTATTACTCATTTCATACCCACACCCATAAGGCCTCTGGCCTTACCCTGGGTTTGAACAGGCTCAGAGACAGGGCTGGGCTCGCTGAGGCCCCAGGCTCCAACAGCTCGCACCAGGAACAGGTAGATGGTATTGGGCTGCAGGCCACTGATGGTGTGTGTTTCCAGCTGCACCCCATCTGCCACTGTCCGCCAGGTGTTGCCAGCCGCTTGGCTAAACAGGAATGAGATGACAGGACTTTAGGTCTAAGGCAGGAATCCTCAACTTGTCTACTCAATCTCACCCATTCTGTATAGAACCATACCATACTGCGTCCTTACCTTAGGATAGAGGGGGTCTAGAGAATCATTCTCCCCCAAATAGCAAAGGCCCTAAGGAAATAGGATCCCCTCTTTTTAATTATCCAGCTTTATATTAAGAAAATTGTCTCCATGGGCCTGGAGAGATGGCTTTGTTGGTAAAATGCCTGCTGAGTAAGCATGAGGACCCGAGTCCAGATCCCGTGGACTCATAAACCCCTGGTGTGGGAGCATCTGTAATCTTAGCACTTGTTAGGGAAGGAGGGTAGAGACAGGGGATCCCCAGAGACTAGTCAGCGTGTCTAACCAACCAGGCCTAGGTTCAGAGCGGTACTTTGTCTCACAGACCTTGGGGGAGGTCACGTGATACTATGCTGTAGCCTCTATGTGCTACATGTACATAAATGCATTGCAAACACATGTCCACAGACACACACTATTGTCTCCATACCTAAAGGCCTCTATCACATAGGAGGTAGCTGTGGCCCCAGACTGTGGATTGGGCTTCCAGGTCAAGGTGACGCTGTTCTTGGTTACCTCTGTGACTATTGGCTGAGAGGGAGGCCCTGGAGGGTTACTGGGTTCTGTTGCTGGACCTGGCGATGCTCCCCAATCTTCTGCAGTGATAGATTATCATTAGGTAGACCGAGGGGGAGGGGAAGAAAGTGTGACCCACCTTTTTCCTAGAAAAGCTGTGGAGCTCAGAGAGTGGTGATGGTTTTGAGGCAACATGTACACTAACCCAGACTCACATCTGCCTCGCAGATGCTCCAGTCCATCCTCATCCCCACCAATGTGGCGAGGCATTTGAACGATAAAATTAACCCTGGGGCTTGGGAGACATTGACTTTTTTTTTTTTTTAAAGCAAACTTGGAGAAAGCCGCTGGCAAGACTAGAGGAAAATGGACAATCTTACCTCGCTTCCTAAGCCAACTGTTCCATGTGGCCTCCCCTATGGAGCTCTTGGCCACACAGCTGTAGAAACCCATGTCCATCTCCTGTAGGAGAAGGTAGAGTGCTGGCCCACTGGAAGTGGAGCAAGGTAGGGTGAAGGGGTGGAGAGGCAGGTAACAGAAGGATGAGGAAGATGCTGGATATTTTAGGAAGTTTGAGAGAGCAGAGAGGTAGAAATGGATTAGATGCCTAGTTGGTACTTAACAGAGTTGGAATCTGGACCAGATAGGTAGTCTCAGTAGATAGGTAGTCTCAGTTACAAGGATTCTAGGGATGGCACTCACCTGAACACTGGCAATGTATAGAGTGCCATTGTCCATTAAGCTGAACTGTGAGTCATCCCCCTGCAGCCACCTGTCATCCTTCTTCCACTGGACATTGGGCTGAGGGTTTCCAGTCACTCTGCATGGCAGCCACACAGAAGAGCCAAGTACCAGTGTCTGATTGGCTGGTCCTTGGAGGATGATGGGAGGCAGCCCATCCATGGAGGCTGGGAGAGGAAGAACTGAGTCAGGAAAGCAGCCCCTTGTCCTTCTGCTGTATTTGTTTCATTAGCTCACCCCTGCCTCCTGGTCTTCCAAGAGGACTTTGATAATCATTTCTATCTCTGCCTGGGACCATTCTGCTGCTAGTTTCCAAACATCAAGGATGTCCCTCAGAAAAATGCTCATTCCCTATTAGACACATTGAACAGCATCCAAGGGAAACAAGTCTCTTTAAACAATCTCTTTGCAGACATGGGTTCAGCCCTTTCTTCATGGACACATACCTCCTTTTATCTCTAATAGGGCCTTGGCCAGGATGCTGCCAGCCACACTGACAGCCTGGCAGACGTAGTAGCCAGCATCCCTGAGCTGTACTTCAGTGATGTTGAGTTGGCCTCTTGGAGAGACTAAGAAGCGTCCCATGGGCTGGAGTGACTGACTAGGGAAAAGCAGGACCTAAGACAAAGCAAAGAAACAAAATATGGAGTGGGCAGAGTGCAGAGAGCTCTAAAACCTGCTGAGAGAAACCCCAAGGTTCTAATTTGCCCTCTGCCTCCAGCCATTGCTATAACCCTGGCCAAATTAGTTTGCCCAACTCACAGAAATGATGGACATTTATTAGAAGATCTTGGGATCCATGCCCCAGCTCTGTGACTTATTGGTTGAGAAATTCTAAAGAACTAAGGCCTGGGGATAAGGCAGGCAGTTACAAGTTAGAGACCAACCTTAGCTCAGAAAATGAACCACCTGGGGCCTGGAGAGATGACTCAGGGGTTAAGAGCACTGGCTGTACTTCTAAAGGACGCAGGTTCAATTTCCAGCACCCACATGGCAGCTCACAACTGTCTGTGACTCTAGTTCCAATGGATACATAACCATACATTCAGGCTAAATACCAATGCACATAAATCTTTCTTTTTCTTTTTCTTTTTTCTTTTTTTTTTTCAAGTAATCAACAGTAACTAAAATAAAACCTCTTGGTCATTGTCTTTACCCCAGTTTCCCCAAATTTGACTCTCAGAGCTGAGGGATCAACTCAGTAGGCTAAAATAAAGAAATCATGTGAAAGTTTTATAAAACTCTTTATTTAACTCTGTGTTAAATATTTACTGGCTTAGCATTTACTTTAGATAAACATATGAAAAGGAGGGGAAATAGGTTTGGGTTTCTAGACAAACAGGTTAAGTGGAGGCTCTGACTACCTCCTCCTACTCCCTCCTGGCATCATCATTTTTATCTCCACGGGGACCTAATTAAAATGCAGCAGTCATGAGAGGTGGAGATGTTGGAAAATTGTGGGCATGGGTTTGGGATAAAAACCTTGTAGTTTTCCTGTAGTGTGTAGATACTCAGGTTTACTGTACCGACCCTGCAGCACAGGATCTGTTCCTCCCTTAGAGGAGGCCACTTAGGTTGTAACTTCTGTTCTTTTTGATAGTGGGATCTTGTGTTTTGTTTTGTTTTGTTTTTCATTAGGTAGAAAGGAGATGACTGTGAGCTCTTCCCCCCACCCTGTTGAAGGAGCTATAAACACAGCAAGTAATCTACCCTAAGCAACTTTAATTTCTTCAATACTTGGTTTACAGAGCAGTTTTCATGTCCAAACGTCAAGGCCCAGAGGGTGTGGAGAAAGAGAAACCTAGCTGGATCTCTAGACTCTCAAAATAGCCTTGGTCTATCAGAACTGGCCACTCAGCACTGTCCCGCACTAACATATTGCTGCATTATCATTGAATTTTCCAAGTGTCCAAATTCTCTATGCTTTTTTTTTTTTTTTTTTAAATTGTCATCACTTTATTTACTCCTCTCAAACAACCTCCAAGAGTTTCTGGAGAGGAATCTGAGAGAGAAGTTTGCAGAAAGTGAAGGGGAGAAAGATCCAGAAGGAAAATCAGTTGGAGCTTTGGAAAGAGCTACCTACTTGACTCCCTTCCTTCTGCCAGAAGATGGCAGGTGGGGGGTTTCCTTTGGTCTCACACTGGAAAGACACATTTTCTCCAGGAGCTGCTGTCTGGTCCTGGGGCTGAGTCACAAATTGTGGTGGGACTGGGAAGGAGAGAGAGATAAGGAAAGGGGGACTGTCCAAAGCTGGCTGAATAGAGCAGGCATCCATCTCTTGCTCAGATCTGTTTGGCTCTGTCTTCTCTCTCCCTCCAGAAGCGTCTTAAGTCATCTATCCCCACTCATGCTCTGTCCTTTCTCCCCATTCTCCTCCAACACCATCCCTCATATCACCCCTGCAAGCTGTCCCAGGAGGCGCCCTCACCGTGAACACTGAGGGAGCCAGAGGCCTCCACACGGCCCACACTGTTCTCTGCCACACAGGTGTAAGTTCCCTCGTCTTCAGCACTCACTCGGCCGATCCAAAGGCTGTGGTCACTCCGTATCTCATACCTGCTCCACTCCCCACCCCAAGCTGGGTTGGCCACAGCTACAGACCGCCTCCTTCTCCCCCAGGACAAACAACAGGGTCAAGATAGGCAGGGCAGGACTCAAAGGGTGCAGGAGATGGTACCCACTGTGTGAGATAAGTTCAGGCAAGGACCACTTGTTCTGGGAAACAGGTTTCTTTGTGCAGGGGCCAGGCAGGGTCTGGGCTCTTTGAGTCCCCCTGCTGTCCGAAGGAAGGGGCTTCTCACCTGCCAGTGGGCAGCTCCCCATCATCCTTGCGCCAGCGTAGATTGGGCTGGGGGTCTCCCTGCACCTCACACAGGAAATTCACAGGGGCGTCAGCCAGGACGACCTGGTTTATTGGTCTACGCAGAAATGAGGGACGCTCTACAGAGTGGGAGCCATTGAACTGTCAGGGGTTTTGCACAGCTACTTGCTCACTAGGCTGCACACTCCCATAACTCAAAGTGTCTCGTGCCTACCCAGCACCACGAGTTCAGCTGCTCCACTCTCTCGTTCTCCAGCCATGTTGGAGGCCACGCACACATACATGCCAGCATCACTCTTGAATGTGTGTGACATCATCAGCTTTCCTCCGCGTATCTGGAGAATAACGATGAAAACATTGGTCCTTTACAGCCATCAAAATGTGTGTGTGTGTGTGTGTGTGTGTGTGTGTGTGTGTGTGATTTACCTAGTTCTCACAATAAGACAATGAAGAAAACTAATGAAGTTGGCTCTTGTCAGATATAGGGTCCCAGGGGCATCATGGTGCAATCTCCCCACATTTTTTAGGGGCAAGGGGTTGAGACAGGGTTTCTCTGTCTAGCTCTGAGTGCTCTGGAACTTGCTTTGTAGACCAGTGGCCTTAAAGGAGATCTGCCTGCTTCCACCTTGGATTAGAGGTGTGCACCACCACATCCGGCTCTCTCTACTTTTCTTACCTCAGTCTTTTATTCAGTAGCTTAACTTCAGACATTACCAAGACATTAGACACATCATTCCCAGGTCTCAAGACCCTTAGGTTGGTGGTTCTCAACCTTTCTGATGCCGTGACCCTTTAATACATACAGTTTTTCATATTGTGGTGACCCCAATCATAAAAGTATTTGTTGCTACTTCGTAACTGCAATTTTGCAACTTCTATGAATTAAAATGTAAATATTCGATATGCAGGATACCTGATATGCAACCCCCAAAGGGGTCAAGGCATTGCCTTAGATTCAAGACTTCCTTCTTTGAGACATGTCCTGGACTCATGACCTACATGCATGTGCTCCTTAGACCATTGCCTGCATTCATGTGCATGCACACACACACTCACAGTAATCCTTCCCTCCTCTTCCTTAAGCTTTGCATTGCCCTTCTTCCAGGATACCAAAGGCTCTGGGTGCCCCTTAGGGGGCACACATTCCATTACTGCTGGCTCCCCCACTGCTACCACCACGTTCCCAGGCGACTGCCGGAAATCATCACGGAGGACTGAAAAAGGAGAAGGAGCCATGCGGAGAAAGGTCAGAAGAATGAACAAGGCGGAGGGAAGGTCTGGGAGGAGGGTGGGTCATAGCCAACCAGAGTTCTGAAATACCGAGTCAAACCCATTGTCTCTTCTATAGTCAAGGTTTGGCCTTAGAGACTAAAGGTCTCTGTTGGGGGGTGGGCGGGGGAGATGTTCAGTGGGCTGAGACACGCCCCCCTGCCCCCATTAATTCAGGCCAACTCTTAGGCCTTCCCGCCTGCTCCAGACTCTAGAAGCATCGGAGGACGAACTCTCACCAGCTACTTCCAGAGAGGCGTTTCTGCTAGCGGCAGCTCCCAGGTAGTTGCGAGCCACACAGGTGTACACACCCTCATCTGGCCGAGAGCGGCGCCCGTGCACGATGCGGGGAAAGAAGAGGGCGCCGCTGGGCAGCAGCAGGCGATGCGCACGCGGATCCTCCCGTGCGGTGGCCACACGCGCCCCGTTCTTGTACCACTCGATGTTGGGTCGAGGCCGACCTTCAGCGCGACAGGGCAGAGTGGCCGGCTCGCCCCTGGAAACCAGCAAGTCTGGCGGCTGCTCCACGATGCGTGGCATGGCATCCTCCGACCCAGCTCTTGACCCTGGAGAAGGAGGTGGCTCCGACTTTCCAGGCAAGACAATCGGGGCAGGGGGAGGGAAGACCAAGGCTCTGGAGAGTAAGAGCACCCTCTGCCGCGTTCATCTCCCATGCTTCCTCTGCTGGAGAGCCGGCTCCATCAGCCCTCCTATCTCCCCTCCAGCTCCGTAGGCTGGAGTTGAAACTAAAAAGGATTTTATTTATTTATTTATTTTCCCTAACACAAGGCTCCCCTGGACTCCCTTTGTAGACCAGGCTGGCCTCGAATTCATAGAGAGCCGTCTGCTTCTGCCTCCCAGAGTGCTGGGATTAAAGGCGTGCGCCCCCCATGCTCAGCGTTTAGAAACGGTTCTTAATTTGAATGCTGTGAGGCCCTATGTAAGCTTGTTGTTGTTGTTGTTGTTGTTGTTGTTGTAAATTTCCAGGGATCCTGTGGTGCCACAGAAATTAAACATGGTGGAAGTAGAAATGCGAGTGGTGCTGCTTTTCCTAAAGGGCACAGTTTTCAAAGCCGAGGAAGAAATTCCTCTCCCTCCTTTCTCTCTTGGACCAGTTCTCTATAGATTCTGCTCCTGCCTCTCTCTCGGCCCACACACCTCCGTCCTAAACCTGGTTCATCTACCGCCCTAAGTTTGGGATCCAGGTGTCATCCTCACCCCCAAATGTTCCCGTGCCCTAGCCCACGCCCCCATTTGTATTCCCACCATCATTCCTGCTCAGGATAGGATAGTTAAAAACTGACACCGCGCTCTCAGTACAACCTTTGGAAAAGGATTTATAACCCGCTTCTCCCAGTAGGGGGCGATGCTGCCTTGCACAATCTGGTGTCCTTAATTAACCGGGGACTACTGGGCGCATCTGTTCTGCACCTCTCTCTCGCTATCTCTATCTCTCTCTCGCCCCCACCCGCCTACCCTGTTCCAAGATCCTCAGGGACCTCTTGGTTCTAAGCCCAGTGGGGGATTAGGTTTCGTTTCTTGCCCTTCCTTTTAAGAGTTCCGATGTAGAGAAAGCTGAGGCATAGTAGCGGGTGCGGACTCTGTCCTGGTGGAGTTGATTTGACTGATGGGGTAAGATCAGTTTCTCTCCCAAGTATGGAAGAGAATCATTTTCTCAGTCTCCTTTCCAGAGGGAACCTCGGCTGCTCACGTGTCTCCTTTCTCTGTTCCCTCCCAGTCCTGATTTGGAAATACTCCACTGAGAGAGGTCCCTGGTGTGGCTAGAGTGTGGAGAGCCTTGGGACGCAGCTACAGACAACGTCAGCCTGAGAGACAGTTCCGGATGCTCCAGGTAACCCGGAAGCCTTCGGCACCTGGACGCAAATGGCCTCTTGCTTAAGCAACACACCTGTGGCCAAGCTTGATGAGCTGAGTTGGATCACTAGGACTCACACCGTGGTGTGGAGAGCTGCTTGTTAAGCTGCTTTGTTATGTTTTCACCTGGGGAAGTAGTTTTTGAAAAAGGGTTAGGTGGTTCCACACCTTTTTCTACTTGTATTGATGTGACTTGCTTGCCTAAAAATAATGAACCCTGGAATAAATCCAGGCTGCCTCAGTCAGACTGACAGCCCTCTCAAGCCGATCCCCTATGAAGTGTGATTTGTCCTCACTCCCCACTCAGGCACTGTTTGACTCTGCCTGCGGGCTCCGGCACTAGAGCCCAGGTTTTGGCTTTGAGATGCTCTGAGTTGCAATCGTCAGACTTTGACACTTCCCAGAGGTAATACATTGGTCAACTTACTTAACTTCAGCCCAGTGGTGGCTCATGCCTGTAAACCTATCACTCAGGGTGTGGAGGCATTTGGGACAGTTCAAAGGCTGAATTGGGTTGCATAGGTAGTATGGGCCTCAAAACAACAAAACAAAAAAGAAAAACACCCAAGCCTCTAATTTTCACTTCTTTATCTGTAATGTGGGCATCCAAAACCCACAGAGGTTGTTCACACACCAATAAGTATGGCAAGTTTACCGTTATTTAATATCTTTCCTTCCTCACACTTTCACATGTCTCTACCTGAGTGAAACCCGGGGCGCTAGTATTTCTACCCCACCCCCACGTCACAAACCTCTCATGTGCAATGAAAATGCATTTAGGTTCCCTGATGCCAAGAGTTTGCTCTATGCTGTTTTGTGATCACTGAACTATTCTTCACCCCTTCCCACCCATAGCTGTGTTTTCCTAGTGGCAGTTTGTGGCTAACAACAAACACCTTTCCTACATCTTCCTCGCTGGTTGGTCAAGCTTAAATGAGAAGGCGTCTGGCGTAAGCTCTAGGTGAGGGGGACGTCCCTGAAAGTAATTGCTCAACCTCTTGGGACTCCTCCAAGGGGACAGAACCCCCCAGCCCGTGTTAAACTCCTTCCCTATACACCACACCCTTCCGGTCCACCCTTTCCCTCTAATTCCTGCAGACACAGCTGTGGGCTCCCTTTCCCTGGAATTTCTTCCTTGTCACCCCCCGGTCTCCAGGGACGCTTGACGGCAGCCTAATGAATAGCTAATGGCCATGCAAATAGGGCTCTGGGGCTCCTCCCCCGCACCTGAGTGTGAGTTCGTGTGTGTGTGTGTGTGTGTGTGTGTGTGTGTGAGAGAGAGAGAGAGAGAGAGAGAGAGAGAGAGAGAGAGAGAATTTTAGAGCACCCCCCTCCCCTCCGCGCGCCTCCTTTAGGTCTGCCGCAAAGGCGGAGGATGGCCAAGGGAGTCCGGGGCCCCTACCCTAACTCCCGCAGAGGCGTCCCGGTGGGAGACTCCGGGAGGCGGCCGGCAGGGAGCGCGACCAGGCCCCTCTCCAGGCTGCCAGTGGTGCTCAGGGAGGCAGCGCTGTCTCAAGTTATTTATTAATCCCTGTAATCAGCGGTAACGACCTCACCGCCGCTCTGCCAGGATGGGTCAGCTGTGAGTCTCACGGGGGACACAAACTAGGCTCCAAGTTCCCTTGGAAAGATCGCTGACTCAGTCCCCTCTGCAGCAAAACACCTACAAAATTGGGGCTTTCTCACCCTTGCTCTGGGTGAGTTTGTTGAAAACTTCAGGTCCTTGAAGTGACGTCTGCTGCTTGGGTGGATTGCCTAATGACCGGTTTAGCCCTGACGGGCTGGTGTCCCCTCTTCTACCCTCCCTTCCTCTGCCCTTCACAGTTCTCCCACTTGGGGTGGGGGTGGTGGGTGGGGAGTAGGGGAGATGGGGAGAAAGGAAATCAGCAGCCCTCCACCACGGGCAGATACCCCAAATCAGCTGCTCCTTTGGGACCCCGCTTCCCAGGAGGGCCCTGACAGGGCCTGGAAGGGAAGGGGCGCTTCTGTCTTCCCCTCCACGCCCCTCTGTCGCCCCCGACCCCCAAATCTCAGGTCCCCGTCGGGCAGCCTCACCGTTGTTGGAGGGGTCTCCGGGAGGCACCAGGCTAGGGTGGAGCGCTGCCAGCGAGGAGTTGAAGCCGAAGAGTAGCTCGCTGGAGTTGGAGATGTCCCCGGCCAGGGAGTCCGCGAACAGGTTCATCTGCAGTAGGGTTTTGAGCAGGTAGCGCAGCATGACGCGGCCCGCCCGGGTCTTCGGCTGGGGGCTCGGAGCCCAGCCCCTGGGTCTAGGACCCGCGGGCCGGGAGCCGGGAGCCCCTCCACAGCCTCTGCGCGCTGCGGCAGCCACGGTGCCGCTGTCCTGCGGGCTCGCCCGGGTAGCGTCCGCGCGTCCGCGCGACTTGTCCTCCTTCGCTGGTTCTCCTCTCCACCCCACAGTGCCGGAATCCCCCGGGAGCCGGGCGGGCGGAAAGCAGGTGCCACTCGGATCACGCCGTAATTAAGGGCTTAATCCGCCTCCCTCCGTACCCCCACCTCCGCCGGAGTGGCCACTAGCTGGGCCGCCCGCGCGCGCGCGAGGGACAGTCCCCGCCCCGCACTCTTCTAGTCAAATGTTGTTGCTCTGAACCTGGCGGGAGAGTTTTTTTTTCTCACCCAAGGCGAGGACTGAGCCTCTGTCAGACTCTGCCGTTCTCTCTAAATTTCTAGCAGGAACTGTCTTCTTTCTTGGATGTCAAGGAAACTGAGGCATTGGAAGAGCAGGCGCAGTTGGGCTCCCAATGTCCCGGCCTTCCAAATTCCTGGGGCTTGAGCGCAGGGTGTTAGAATGAATACCTGGGAGCTAGAGGAGGAAGATCCACCTTTGGATCAGCGCCCCCCTCGCACCCTTCCCCAACCCCGTGCAGGCGCGGGGCTTCTCCCTAATCTACTGTGGGAATCCTAGTTTCCACGAGCCCAGGGAATCCAGTGACTCGACTTGACCTGGAGTCCTGCTCCAGACCCGCCAGTCAGGAATTCCTCGGAACTGTGTAAAACTGGGTAAAACTGGAAGGAACTCCGGAAAGCTGCCAGGCAGATCGCACTTACTAGCCTAGCGCGGTGCTCTGCGCTGACATGTTTTAGGAAGTTGTTTTTTTTTTTTTTTTTTTTTTTTTTTTTTTTTTTTTTTTTTTTTTTGTTTTTTTTTTTTTTTTTTTTGTTTTTTTTTTTTTTTTTTTGTTTTTTTTTGTTTTTTACAATTTTTGAAGAGACCGAGAGTGGGACCAAGAAGCCTGGGACAAAGGGAGCAAAGTGCAATAAACCGGGCGGATGCCAAATTGTGCACAGTTTGCTGGAACCGGATACCAGCTGGTTGTCCTCCGTGTTAGGGCGGTGTGGGATGTGCAATTCGAAAGCCAAAGCCCTAGTTCTGACCTTCCTCGGGTTCTTTTAACCTTGGAGATGTCCCAGTCTTGCTCTTCCCCTCTCCTGCACACACTTTTCCTGCCCTGGCAATGATGTTGGGTGTGAGACAGAGACCTTGGGTTTCCCATCTTGGGGCAGGTTCTGCGGACAAGGAAGTGATGGGTTTTGGATCGCCCTTAAACCCTGGGACAAAGGGGCTGCACAGGAAGAGAGCTCAGAGGGGTGTGGGCTGCTCGGTGGAAGGTCCCAGCTGTGGTCCGGTTCCAAACCGAAAGCAGCCCAACCAGCAGAGAAGCGTGGTTCCGCTGGCAAGCGTGTCCAGAGACTCCTACAATCCGTTCCCTTTCCGGACTCGGGGGCTTTTAGTACCAGAGTCCCCTGCCCAGGACCTGACCTCAAGGCGGGACTAACTCAGCGGTGGCACTCAACAGCCCCACGGGAGTCAGAGCCCTGGGAGCTGATAGGCCAGTGTGTCACCTGTGGGTGCTGAACTGGGACCCTGCATTCACTGGAGACAAAATCCAGGCAGATCTTGAGACCGGGTTAGTTTAGGGTACTAAAGAGTTAGAATTTAACATCAGACGCTTGTTGCAGGACTAGACCGGAGAGCCAGTTACAGCAGGAGAGCCAATTACAGGACATCGCCATTCAAGACGATAGGAGGCGATAGGTCTGATCCTCAGGTTCAGGATCCTAGAGACCTTCAGCTTGGCCTCCTTCTGGCGGGTCACACAGCTTCCATCACATCAGAAGCCCAAGCAGGACAGAAACTTAACTTCGTGGCACCAGGCCCTGCTTTGGAGCTGGGAACACTGGAACCCTCCACAGCGTGCAGATTCTGCCCCATCCTAATTCCCCATTTGCTCCTGGCCGGCCTCTGGGCAAACACACCGCCCGCCCAGCGTCTAGGGGCTTGTCACCCTGTTAGCGGATTTGTTTCCGGAGATCGTACAGTTAATTGGCCCTTTATGTGGGGATCAGGGCGTGTTTGCTCTGGGTTCCCTCAGCGGAGGCGGCAGCCTAGCCCATGGGCACGGCTGCTTCCTAATCCCTGTCATCTGGATTTGGAGGCTGAACAAACCGAGGACGTCTAGGGCTCTTGGCCGCTCTGTGGTCCATCTTGTGAATCTCACTTCTCCTCCTCTCTCTCTCCCTCTCTCCCTTTCTCTCTCCTTATTTTGAAACCAACTTAAAAAAAATCTCCATATTTTCCTGCTTGGTTTTCCTTCTCTCTTGCCCACTCTCTCCTCTGTGTTTGTTATCTCTACAATATTACTCCTTCTCAGAAAACCAGCTCCGACCTAAAGTCAAAAGTGGTTAAGGACTCAAGGCAGGTGCCTGGAAATTAAGTTACCGAGTCTATAACACAAGTTTCCTCCGTCTCCTTCCTCCAGCTCTTCACCCAGCAGGGTCCCCAGAGATTTTCCTCTGGCAGAGGTGGAACAGAGTGAGAAGACATGGCCGAGTGGAGAGCACACGTCCACTCTCCCTCCATCATTTACTTCAGGCAGCCAGGAAACTAACCCTTCACTTTTTAAGTACAGCTGCTGGGTGGGTTGCTTCCAAAGGCTGTTGTGCTGAAGAATGTGGCTCCTGATTACCTCCTCCCACCAGCCCACAGCCAAAATTATCACTCCTCTGGCTTTTGTCTTTTGCTTAGCTGGGGTAGGCAGCAATAACCCCACCTCCATTTCCTAATTTGTGCTGCCTCGCAAGCATCGAAGACACTTCACCTCTGCCTTGGGTTTATTTTTTTAATAATTTGTTTATTTTATTTTATGTGCATTGGTGTTTTGCCTGCATGTTTGTCTTTGTAAAGGACCTGGAACTGGAGTTACAGACATCTGTGAGCTGCCATGTGTGTGCTGAGAATTGAACTTGGGTCCTCTGGAAAAGAAGTCAGTGCTCTTAACTACTGAGCCCCAGGCCTTTGATTTATAACCTTCCCCCTTGGGCTGAAGGAAGAGCCAGAATTTCAAGAGCTGAATTTCAAGCAACTCCTTTTCCTTTATTTTGGTTTGGTTTGGGGGTGGGGGTGGGCCTTGTTGCTGTTTGTTTGTAGAGATAGGATAGCCCAGACTAGCCTCAGACACAGGATGATCTTGAACTCCTACCTCACTTCCCAAGTGTTATGATTACAGGCATATACTATATCCAGCTGAGGGCCTTTTCTTTAAAAAAAAAAAAAAAATTATTTTATGTACATTGGTGTTTTGCCTGTATGAGGGTGTTGGATCCTGGAATTACAGACAGTTGTGATCTGCCATGTGGGTGCTGGGAATTGAACCAGGCTCCTCTGGGACAACACTAGTGCTCTTAACCACTGAGCCATCTCTCCAGCCCCAGGCCTCTTCTTTATATTACTCCAGGAGCTTCTTTTGACAATAGTATGTAGAGTTGAACTTTCGAAAGTAGAGGAGAGAGAAAAAGTGGTGTTAAAGGAGAGTTGGCAGAGAAGAGGGAAAGTGACAAGGAGCGAAGAGGGTGGGAGGGACCGAGTGTGTATCCTGATACACACTGACCTCGAAGGGAAAGAAGTGTGTGCTCACAGGTGGAGCCACAGGGGCGAGCACAGCGCAGGGGTTGATGAGGCAGACATGGAAGACAAGTCTTTCCCAGGCTTTCACTTTGGAGACTAGGCTAAGCAAGTGACTGTGTCAGACAGGAATCCATCCCACATGTGCGGTGTTTGGGGAATCAAGTGCCTCTAAAGAGACTCCCCACCTGTCAGAGAGAAAGAGAGGGGGGATATGAATTGGGCAAGAGATTAGTACCCTAGGCTAACTTTTGTTGGCTTCCTGCCAGCATGAAGGCCAGAGAATGTGACTGGGAATTTTTAGTGACCAAGCTGGGGGGCCATATGGGAAGGCTTCTTGGTGGTCCAAACCCCATATGCCAGCTGGTAGTGGATGAAGCTGCTGGCATGTGATTGCCCCAGAGGGCAGTCTGAAGACAACCCCCACAATCTCCTACTGATTATTGTCTCTGCTCTCCTTGATACACACACACACACACACACACACACACACACACACACACACACACAGAACTGTCTGTTTATACCCCCCCCCCCCAAGAGCCTACTGCCTCCCATCATTCTCCCTGCCTGGATCTGTTCCCAGGGCATGAATACCCATTGAACATATGTGTGTTTCTATGTGTTTGTAGGGGGAAGGGACACACGAACCTAACATCTGCCCAGCCCCCACTAGGCTATGCCAAGAATGGCCCAACAGGATTGTTAACTTCAGAATGATAATGCCAGGGGCCAGTGACCCAGCCAGCAGGGGCTAGGAAGGTGACAGGAGGGGGCGATGAGAGAGCAAAGAGGGGCACCCAGCTGACAGGCAGACAGCAGGAGCTTTCCCTGGCAGGAGCCAAGGCTTGTTGGCTGAGACCCTGTAGCTGCTGAGATAATAAGCCAGAGACCCCTGCTCAAGAGTATCCCTTTCCCTACAGGGTTCCAACGGAGAGGCCTGCAGAGTCACGCTTTGCCATACACCCTGCCAAGTCCAGAAATCTGTAGGCACCTGGGAGGAAGTATGTGCACGTCTCATTGCAGATGTAACAAAGGCTAGGGAGAGTGGAGCTGTTCTCCCTACATCGTTAGCCCTTCTTTCAGGGTTTTTAAAAAGCATCTAAGCACATATATCATTATCCTTTGGGAACCTGAACACCATTGTATCATGCTGAACAGTCCAGTGCATAGATGTACCATGCGCTTATAATCAGTTTCCTGCTTAGAAAAATTTCATTTATTTCTGAATTTTTGTTTTGCAGTGGTACAAATAAACTCCGTGCATATACACATATATCTATGCACATATGTATACCTGCAGGATATTTTTTATTATTTAAATTTGTTTGGGATTTTGTTATTGGCTGGGGGTGTTTGTTTGTTTGCTTGTTTGTTTTTTTGTTTTTCAAGGCATGGTCACACCATGTAGCTCAGCTTGGCCAGAAACTGCTTTGTAGACCAGGCTGGCCTTGTTTGAAGTCACAGAGCTCTTCTTGCTTCTGTGTCCCAAGTGCTGGGGTTGAAGGTGCGTGCAGCTGTACCAGCTGTTTTGATACAGGCTCTGACTCTCTAGGTCAGACTAGACTAAACTCTTCCTGCTCAGCGTCCAGGTGCCAGGAT